CTTTTTTGTAAAAACTAATTTTATTTTTTTTAAAAAAAACTAATTAAAAATTAATTGTCGCTGACTTAGAGGATACGTGTCCTCCGACGAGCCACATGAGTGCCACGTAGGCATCTCCGACGCTGAATAACTATAATTACAAAAAAAAATTCATTTACAAAACTAATTATACTTCAATTACAGATAAAAAAAAAATCAATTTACTCTTAATGCAAAAATCATTGCCTCGATGGAAAAGACCTAATCAAATGTGGAATAGCTCTTCCATTTTAATGTCGATGAACGTCTTGATTGGTCAAATGAGCCCTACATGATGGAGCTGTCTCGAGCCGATAGAAATTTTTGGAAATTTTTGTAAGTTTGGAAATTTAGAAAAAATAAAATGTTAAGTATTTAATTTGATATTTTGTGAGAGAAAAAAATAAATATATTTGACGTGATTTTTTTGAAAAATAAATAGTGAGAAATCAATAAAAATATGTTGTATAAACAAAAACCAATTTATAAATATATCACAATTATTTAAGCCCTTAAATTTATTTAACATTTTCTTTCACTTTATTAAATCATTAAAACACTTTTCAAAATATCCTATTTTATTGTTTGTTTCAAACAAATTTGTTTACCTACAAGAATATTTATATTTTTCTATATATATATATATAAAAAGAATAGGTGTACTTTAATATAATATACACACAAATTGCATCGTAGGTTAAATATTTTGTTAATTAGAGTATCTCTTATAGTCATTACCTCCGCCTCATTATGTCTTTTATCTCTGTCATCCACGTTATATCCACCTCAATATTCAAATTATTTCATTTATCTCATTTATAGTAAATCACCCTCAACTCATTACCTTTATTATTTTATAAATATACAATAATTTATTTATTTCTATATACTTTTATTATGTAATAATACATATAATCAATATATAAATAAATTATTTATCTATACATATTTTTATATATTTTTATTATCTAATAGTATTTTTATATAATAATATTTGAACTTTTAAATATTAATCTATATAAATTTAATAATTGAATATATAGGGAATAAATCAATATATATATATTAACTAAAAATAACATCAAAATAGTCATAATAATTAACAATATAATTTAAGAATTACTATTATTTTTATTTTCAAATCGTATCCAAATAATATATGCAGTAAGGTAGAAAAAAAAACAAGTAAATTTAAAATAAGATAGATAAAGTGTGAGAATTGATTAATGAATTTTAAATATATATAATTTATGTTAAATTTATAATTTAAAATTTTGAAATTTCAAAAAAATTTGGATAGTATTTAATATAATTATTATTATTATTTTTAATATTTGTTGAAGGTAACCGATTATTTAATAAATTTGGATAACTGTATTTCTTAGTAATGGGTTTTGTTATAGTAAAAACTGAAAAGACAATGATAAAGGTAATGAATAAGGTAACTGTAATATGCTCTTATTGACAAATAAGAATTTTGTATAAAATTTTTTTATATTAAAGTTATTAATTATGTGATAAATTAAATATAAAAAAGTTTAAACAAAAAAATAAAAATAAAATTACACCATGTCTCTATATTAAAATTTACCCTTTATTTTATAAAATAATAAATTATTATAATAATATATTCATTAAAATTTATTTCTAGTTCACATAAATATATATTTTTTTTAGACAAAGCAAAGTGTATTATTTTGTATTGCATAATTACAAACACAAGTGAATATAATATAGTGTAGAATTGGCCCATCAATCCAACACGGCCCAACCTAACTTTACATATAATTACGTGAAATAGTTAGTTTGTTTGTAAATATACTGATATTTGATATTCAAATCTAGCTAAACAAATATGTAAAATTGTGAATCCTATTTCAATATAAATTATTGATTAACTAAAAAATCAATTTTTTGAAAATATTTGCGTTATTTAATTCGAATCGAAAATATTTACAAATATTTCAAGCCGAATCAAACTAAACTATAAATGAATGATACAAAATATAAAAACAATTTTTACATATCTCCCTAATTCTATAATCAATTTTGTGAATAAAAAAAAATTCTTTGTTATTTTTGACATATGGACAAATATATTTTTCTTTTCTCTGTAGCAAATTTTCCTTTTCAAGTAGTCTGATGTTGCAGTAAGGTTGTCACTGCACCCTGCTGCAGTCTGAATCTATGGCTTGATCTTATTCATTGTGTCCAAACTTTAAATGTCCGCAAGAGTCAAATATGGTATTTTGGAGATGATCAGACTCGTGCAGATCCATCAATTTCTATGCTAAGGAAAATAAAGTGAAGTGTTTTCTTTCCCAGGTTTGCATGATATATACAACCAAAGGAGAAAATGTTTGGTGGTGAGTGATGTTTGAGAGCCAAAATATAGAGAGAGAAATTATTATGTGTGTGCTATCACTCTTCTCCTCATTTTCTCTATGTTTTGAATTGTTGTTTAACACGTAAATCTACCGGAGAGCTCGACGGAGACCGGAGATAATAGAGTTCCAACCGGAGAGGATGATCAAACTCTAAGCTGCTCTGCTATATGGCCGTTGTTAGTACGCGTTGTGACAACGTGAACCTGTGAAGGTATTTTCCTAAGGAGTTGTGGTTGTTTTTGTCCTTAATCAGGATTAGTGGAATATCTCCTGAATTGGTATCCTCGGATGTAGATTGGTTGATCATCGAACCGGGTCAACAAACACATTATTTCATTGTTGTTTTATGTTCTACATTGTCTTTCATTGTTATAACTATGAACCGCTCGCGCTTAGAGAGTTGACTCTTTAAAGTATTCGAATGTGTTTTGTTCGATAAATCACTTTCCTAACAAATTTCTTATTCATTCTCTATATTAATTTCATTTTTTCTGCTTTCTATTTTTACAAATTTATTCATTTACACTCCCTATTCACTTAAAAATCATATAATACCCTTATCTAATTTTTCCTATCATTTATTTATTTTTTTTTATCTATATTGTATGCACTAATTTTTATACTATAGGAATATTTTCTATTCATTAAAACGTAAAAAAATATATATATTACAACACTACAAATAATTATTGACAATAAAATTTGCGACATAAAATTACAGCAAATTAAATAATCTGAGTTTATGAATGAAACAAAATATTAACCATAAAATACCTTTCAAATCATAATATAAAATTAACAATTTCAGTCAATCAAAATGTGATTAAGGCAATAAAAAAAAAAAAAAAGAAAATCTTACAAAAGTATTTGTCGATCTATATTGAAATATCTAACATGAAGTCCAAAAATATGAATATTTATTTAATATATATATATATATATGTTTTCATATAAAAAGTACAAATAAAAATCAGATCCTTATTGAATTGGTGTAGTGTTACAAATTACAAAAGTATAAATAATATAATGAATAAATATTTTGAATACTCTATAAAAATATTATTATCTCTGTAAAAAGAAAAAATTAGAATTTATTTGAAAATATTCTATATTTTTCTCTCTTGTTTAAGAATGTTTTTTTTTTTTCCTCTTGTAAAAAACAATTAATACATTGTAACAAATCATACAAGTATTGTTCAGGCAGTAGGTAAATTAATTTTATATACAAAAGTTAATACACAAAAAAATAAATAAATAATACAAAGATATATATAACTCTTACATCATAATATAAAATATTTATGAAAAAATATTGATTTCAATTAGTTGTAATATAAATAATGTATAACGAACAAATAATTTGAATACTATGTAAAAATTAATCAGAGAAAAAATCAATTTTGGTCTAAATATAATAAAAATTTATTAATTTTGGTCTCAACATAAGAAACTTATCGATTTTAATCCCATTATATATAATTTTAACCAATTTTGGTCTCTTTAAAAACAATTTCAATTAATTTTGGTCCCTTTAAAAACAATTTCAATTAATTTTGGTCCCACCGTTAATTTTTAATGGAAATTGTTGGCATGGACATAACGGCAGTGACGCGACAGCTGATCTGAAAACTACACGACCATATACAATTATCCACGACCATGTTGTCACACGGCTATTTATATTCCAATGTATAATTATATATAACCATATTGTTATATGATCATGTACAATTATACACGGTCATATTGTTACATGGTCATGTATATTTCAATGTATAATTATACATGATCACGTTGTTATACGGTCATATATACGGTCGTGTATCTTTTTGTTTTGGTCTAAATTTTTTTTTTTTTATAAATACATTTTTTTTAGACAAAACATTTCAAGAGAATATATCTTATAAATTTTTATATTTGAATTAAAATTGATAAATTTTAATTATATTATGATTACTATTTATTTTGTCTATTTTAATTATATCAACTATTTTAAATTCAAAATAATTTTTTTTTAAAAAAATAATATAAAAAAAAAATTTTAATTAAAACAGAAATGTGCATGGCCATATTGTTTTCAAGTCAACTGCCACGACCTCCGTTATGTCCATATCGACAATTTCGATTAATTTTTTTAACTATAAAACCAAAATTGTTTTGAAATTATTTATAATGGGACCAAAATTATTATTATTATTTTTTATTTTTTTATATATAACATATAAGTTTAATTTTTTACAAAACAAACAAACTATTAGGGGCTGTTTGTTTCAAGGATTTGATAGGATTTCATTGGATTTGGATTTTAAAATCCTATGAAATCCATATTTGGTTAAAAAAAAATAATAAAATTTTAAAATGATGAGATTTAAAAATATGGTTCAAAATTCTACAAATGAGGGATTTATTAGCCATGGATACCTATTACTTTTAAATCCCATTTAATTGGATTTTCAATTTTACTTTTATATCATTAGAGTTTGAATTTTAAGAGAATTGATGCAGCTACGATTAATTAAAGGGAAAAGACGAATTGTATGAAATTCCAATTTTACCCTCGCCAAAACCATATAAAACTCTCCTAACAGAACCCCCCACGGCAAGACGTCGTACCTGCGCACCGGCGCATCTCCTCCTCGTCCTTCGCCGTCGCCGGAGAGTTCCGGCAATTTCACCGTGTGAGTGACAGACCTCAATAAGGTACTTCGATATTCATGGAAGCGGTCGTGGTTGACGCTGGAACCAAACTGCTGAAGGCAGGTTTTGCTGTTCCGGACCAGCCTCCTTCTATGGTAAATGCTTGTTTACCCTAAACTTGAACTTGCGTGTGATTGATTGAAGTAAATATCGTTCAATAGAGACTTGAATCTATTCTCGTTTTCGTGCGTTCTGAATTCGAAATTCAATTCTATCTTGGGGCGGTTAGCGGTGTATTTGTTACTGCTTGAACAATGTTCTTGAATCGTTCTTAATTACTTTTTGAATTCTTTATTTAGGCAAGTTGGGGAAATGACTATGCGTTCTTTCGAGACTTGGGGAATTTCATATCTTCATCTACGTTGAATATTTTCCGATTGAGGAGCTAGTATTCGGATTTTGCAATTTAAAATGAGGGTCAGCTAGGGTTGAGATTGGCAAAAAGTTTAGCGTGACTGAGATGAAATAGTTTAACCTAATGATATGAACTTATCTTTTAGTGTGTGCTTTCAAGCAGGAATTTGATCTCTTGTTTCTGAATCATGTAAATGTTGATTAATTTGTTTAATTCCCTTGAAACCATTGTCGGCTTAAGAATGGATACCTACCTTTTGGAGAGCTACAGACAAAGGATAGACTAATGATAGAACATTACCTAGAGTTTTTCTCTTAAAAGCACTGAAGAAATGCTACGCATATTCTTTATTATTCTTCTTGTTATACCCTCAACATTTAGGTGCTTAAGAACGAAGATTTGACCGCTGTTAAGTGTAATCTTCTCTAATTTGATCATTTTCTCTGCATTACCAATTAGTGCTATCACTATAGATAATTTTGCCTCTTAGTATAGTTGTTGAAGGTACATATACTTTGTGGAGCTTTGGTGAAATCTCCTATTGAATCGAGCGGAGATTTATGCAAATAAATAAAAGATGGGTTTTTAATTTCTTGGATTTCTACTAAATAAAGAGCTTCTACATTATAAAAATAGGAAAAAACATTAAAAAACAAACTTAATATTGACAAAGATAATGGAAAATATGAAAGTAAGAAACAATGAAAACCTTTTGAAATAATTGATAAACTAAAGAAATTTAGAAGAGAGAGGTAAGCCCTTTTTCATTTGTGTTTTTGTCCTCATCCTTGCACTCTGCGATCTAAAATTAAATAGTTTTCTTACTAAGACTGTAAAACACATCTAAAACTGCTTTTTAATCAAAACATCACGTCCAATACCCAATTTTTGTTAATAAATTTCAAATTTTGAAACAGCTCAAAAGAAAAATTAACTTAGCTGAAATGGTTGCAAGAATAAAAAATATGTGTATTTGAGGAAGGAGCATTAAGAGAGACCAAGAAAAAAATGTTGAAAATGAGAGTGCATTAAAAAGAATGTTTAAGTGGCAAGTATCTCGCTTTTGCTCATCATTATCTTAAAATGTTAATATAAAAGTATTGCGTCATTAGAATAATTGAGCAGGAAAATAGCTCAAGTCATGTGTTTTAATGGCAATAAGATACCACATTAAAGCCCTATGCGCATTGTTACATGTACCACGGATATTTTCCCTTATGATATTTGATATAGTACAACCTTTCTAAATATGTTGTATGAATGTTATTATTGACTTTTAATTCTTGGGCAAAAAAGATAAAAAAGAAAAGAAAAAAAAGGGGAAAAAAAGGATGAAAGATTCTCTTTCTTGCCGTCTACCTATAAAGGAAAATTCTAGCATTTGCTCTGCCCTAGATATCCCTTTCCATTGAGTACCTATTCTATTCATCAAACCAACAAACCATAATTGTTTGCGTTGAGACTCAATCAAGAGCATGGAACTACCACCGGCTGTTGTTGATGCTGGTTCTAAGTTAATGAAATATAGTCATGCGATTTTGGATCGTGATCCTGAGGTAATGTTTAATCTCTCTATTAGAAAATTGAGGCAAGGGCAAGGGGAATTATATATAACAGAACATAATGACTAATGCTGTTTTTCTTTGGTGGAAAATTTAAGCTTTTTGGATCCTTGTTTTGAGTATCGTTGCAGCCAAGGATTATGTTAGACGGTGCGAGTGTAGTTGGATTGTCGGTGAGATGTGCGTAATTCTTGATGAATTTAAAGGATCCAATTTTATTCGGTGTTCGGTAACTTGTGAGTTGAGCATCTTTGCGGTACAACTGATTAAATGATATGTGCGAAGAATCATAATTTCAATTCAAAGGAAATTTTACCACAATTAAGATCAAGGCAATTATGATCTGAAATAGAGTATAAGAAGGCTCCATAGTGGACTTGTTAGATGGGGATGATATTCAAGTTGGTTTTATTCCTTACATATCAAGTAATGACCTGAATCACTGTTGCAAGTAGAAAAATGTTTCCTTGTGTGTAAGATTGATTTCAGGGAAATGTTGGACATTCTTTACAATGTGGTTAAGTGGTTAGTTTATTATATTCCAATGTGATATTGCTTTGATAATCTTGATTTTCTGCATTCTCTTTAGTTTCTATATAACTTGTTTGTTAGGTCTCTGTCACATTTTTAGTCGACCTCTGATCATGCGATGCTTATCCTTCGATGGAGTATATTTTCTTCTTTCACTTATTCCTTATTTTTAATATTATTTTACTATGATGCTTCCTCTTTTAGGTGATTCCAACTCAGATGAAACAAGTACCTGAAGATGAGTCAGTAACCAATGCTTCCTTGCCTGAGAATGCAACAGTGGATCCAATTGTGCGAGGCTTCATAAGTGATTGGGATGCCATGGAAGATCTACTGAGCCATGTTCTGTATACTGGTCTGGGCTGGGAAATTGGAAATGAAGGACAAATTTTATTTACGGATCCATTGGCCACTCCTAAGGTTAAGTTAAATCTATCATGGTCCTTTTTTTTTTTTTTTTTACAAGGTTGATTACATTTGTGTTTCCCTTCCTAATTTGTTGTTCTTTTATGAGGTCCTGTTTTTGGGTACTGTGTGCATATGTATCTGTATTCAGCACTGCCACTGCCACTGCCACTGGAAACTCATTACTCATTGTTGTGTAAGGGAATATAAAGTTGTATGTGGTAAGGCTATCCAGGTGATACTTAAACAAAAAAAGCTTGATGAGCCTTTTGCAAAGCAGAGATCGTGTCCTTATGAATTATCTTCTGACTGAAATCATGCCTTTCCTTGTAGCTTGATTGGCTGCAAGTGGAAACTCTAAGTACTCAACTGATACTCTGTGATATTCTATTACAATTTATAATTGTGTCCTGATAATTTGTCTGCCGACCGAAATCATGCAATTCCTTGTAGCATGATTGACTTTTGACTAATTATTTATACTCTAAGATGTTCCACTGGCTTATGGAAAACGATTTCATAAATCCCGTAAAAGCAACTATCTGTGAAGGTATTAATGGTCCTACTTACTACTTAGATAATGCCAGCTGTTTTTTTCTCTCCTGGAGTGCTTTACTATTTATTATATACAATTCTGTTTGTTAGGAACTATATACCATTGTTTATATTTAATATTTAGCCGTCTATGTGTTCTCTTATGTGACATAGTTGATATTACTATTTATTTAACTCTTTATTAAGCATCCTGCCATTTTCAGAAATATTAATCCACATGTTCGTCAAACAGGCAATTAGAGAGCAACTGGTGCAAATGATGTTTGAAAAATTCAATGTATCTGGTTTTTTTGCAATTGAGCAAGCTGTACTATCACTTTATGCTCTGGGGCGCATCTCTGGCTGTACTGTTGATATTGGCCATGGAAAGATGGGTATGTAGTGACATTATCGTTCCTGTAATATTCTGATTTTAATAATTGGCGCTATTGAAATGGCATGTCATGTTGTTGATTAGAATGCTAGAATTTTACTCTCACTAATATTTGTAATTTATTGTATATCAATGTTTTTTTGAACTTAAACATATGTCTAGGTGGCTATGCTTGTCTCATATAATTTTCAATTCCCTTTTCACTCATATATGCCATTCAATACTCTGAAAATTCTCTCGATCTTTTTAACATAGAGATTAAACTTTAAAGAATATGGCTATTTGGTAAAAATTAATGTTGCCAGTTCTTTTTATCTATTCATTTAAGCTGTTGGCAGATTTTCTGTGCTTCCATTAAAACTACTGTAGAAGAAGCGCTTGATGGATAAAATTTAAATTTATATGATGAGTAATTTCTAGACAAGGTAATGTTCCTTACCTATTTCCTTCAACCTGATCCAGATATTTTGATAGATTCTGTTTGATGCTAAAAGTTTTTATATTCTGTAAATTGCTGTATTTACTATTACTTATCGGTTTGAACTTACTGGTTTAAAATTTTCTTTACTATAAACATGTAAATTAAGTTTCTGTGTACTGATCTATTAGTGTATAATTTGTTCTTCGCCTCCATATTTTCAGACATTGCATCGGTAATTGAAGGTGCTGTTCAGCATATATCCTCAAGACGTTTTGAAATAGGGGGTTTGGATTTGACTAATTTGTTTGCTCAAGAGCTCCGTAAATCCCATCCATTTGTCAACTTGAGCACATCCGATATTGAAAAATTGAAGGAGCAGTATGCATGCTGTGCTGAGGATGAGAATGCTTATGAAAGGGTCCTGCAGGATTGCCCTGAGGAGCAATTCACTCTGCCTGACGGACAGGTACAATTGCCTTTTCTTCATGATGTTCTATTGTCATTTTACACTTAAAGAGAATGATGAGCTGAGTTCCATTAAAGTCCGGGATATCTCACTATTACGAATATGTAACTGCTTTTGTATTTAGGATGTGTGAAGAAGATGAGATTTTACTTGACACTGGATGTCCATTGACAATGTTACCAATAAGTCACCTATCCGGATCTGCAAAATAGTAAAAGCAAGTGTTCGGAGAGATTTTGTTGTCTGTTTAGCAACTGGTGCCACTTAATTCTCTGCTTAAACAAAACCGCATTGCAGCTTTTAAATTTGCTCGAATGAAGTCCTTTACAGGTGTTAGTTATGTAGGTATGGTCGTTGTAGAGCTCGTAGAATGTAATGCTGTGGAGGTTGGTTATACTAACATGATTAAATAGTTTTGATGTGCTGATAATATGACTGACCTGTTTTCCTGCTGTAGATTTTCCTACTTATCATTCAATTGGTTTCAAATTGAGCCTTTCTTTTGACTGCTCATGATCTTTGTGAATTTCTACTCGCTCACTGCATATTTGATGTTATCTCGTTCAGGTGATAAAAATTGGAAAAGAAAGGTATGCTGTTGGCGAGGCCCTATTTCAACCATCTATGTTGGGTTTAGAGGCACATGGGATTGTTGAACAGCTTGTTCGTTGTGTTGCAACTGTGTCGTCTGAGAATCAGCGCCAGCTTCTCGAAAATACTGTACTTTGTGGTGGAAGTGCTTCCATGACTGGTAACATGCCGTGCGCTTTTCTTGAAGTGATTTTCTTGTTAGCTATATATTTCAGTAATGATTTATCTTACGACATCGTCATTCATTAATAGAAAATTTCAAAACACTGTAGCTTTTGAGTTATGTTCTGGTAGTATATTTGTCCTGCTCTTTTCATTATTAGATTGGCTATTTTGCTTCGTATCTGGTTAAAGATTTATAATTCCCTAACAATAATCTCGCTTGTTTGGAGTAAACTCTTATAATCGATAGTAATATGCAAAAGTTTCGTTTATGGCTTTGTTGCTTCAACTTCTATATGTTGAAGTAAGTCCCATCGATTTAATTTAAGAACTGAGCCTTTCAAGAGGAGATTAATCGGAACTCTATAATTTAAATTCGATGTTTTGATATGCCAAGATCAAGATCATACTTGCAATCTTATATCAAAAATTAAAGAGCTTCCTTGTTGGATTAAGCTAAAATCTTTTGCTACATTTTGGGTGCATACAGTTAAAAAAGGGACATGTGATGGTGGTAGGTAGTAAGTTCGTAGAAATGTTTTGTAGTTGGTCTCCCGTGGGATTAAAATCTTTGCTGGGCAAAATGCTCGATGCCATTTTTTTGCTGTTACAGGGTTTGAAGAAAGGTTTCAGAAAGAAGCTAGCCTTTCCTCGTCAGCCATCCGCCCTTGTCTGGTGAAGGTAGTTTAATCTTGTCTTATATTCTTTGAATTCTTACGAGCTTATCTTTGGAAATAGAAATCCCCTCACTTTGAATCTCTTAATTAATCCAGAATTAGTTGAATCTACCTGTAACATAAATCCGGAAATCTACTGCACAAAACAAACACTTGACTAGGTTCTGTGGACATCCATATTATATATTTACATATCACCCCGACTCTGTTACCGCAACATATGTTCTTAGTGTTTTAATGACGAGACATAGTCTACCTGTGGCGAGGCTTGTTATACTATGTTGCACCAAAGCGAGTCATTTTAAATTTTAATTAATGTGATATTTTGTACTCTCTTGGTCCATTTTAAAAGTATACATTTAATTTTGATGCAGAGGTTTGGATAGTTAAAAGTAGTGCAAAAATAATTTGACTTTTACATTTTTTTGTATAAAAGTAATGATTTGATGGTAAAGTAAGAGTATTTGTAGAAAAAATGGAATCCATAATTCTTATAAAAAAATAATTATTTTGTAATTGGACAATCTAAAATAGAAATATATATACTCTGTGAGTGGACTAAGAGATTATTAAGTTTTATGTATAGAAAAGTATGCCTTTCTGGTAAGGAATCTTTTATTTTAATTTTGATAAAATTGCTTATAACTCACCATAGTTTGAAAAGTCGCATTATTTTTTTCAATAGTTTGAAATTTGCACGAAACTCTATTGTGTTTTTGAAAATACAAGTTAACTTCAAGCAGTTTCTAAATTATGAGGGAGAATGTTACGGACATTCCAAACCACAGGTGAGTTGAGTTACAAGTAATTTTACCTTCAAATTTTCTAACCTCGCTAAGAAAGGGAATTTTGAGATTGTATAGCTATAAGTAATGTTTCTAAATCCGATTTTGTGAAACATAATGAATGTTTCGGGGTTTGTTTGTTTGTTTTGGGTACAGGCTCCAGAATACATGCCGGAAAATGTGGCGAGGTATTCGGCGTGGACGGGAGGTGCCATAATAGCGAAGGTGGTGTTTTCTCAGAATCAGCATGTGACGAAAGCTGATTATGACGAGACCGGACCTTCCGTTGTTCATCGTAAGTGCTTTTAGAGTAGAGTCGGGATTTATACTAATCGGCCGGGATATGATATGATATGTCTTCAAATAGCTGAAGTTATTGATGATGTTGCTGCTCTGCTCCTGTATGTCTTCAAAATGTTATGTAACTTGCGGACGGATTGAATTTATAACTGTTAATGAGTCGAGTCGAGCTGTGCTTTTCTATATTCGAGCTTTAGTTAGTACTCATTTGGTAAGTATGCCTTTAGAAAAGTTATTAGTTTTTTACTATAAAATGCTTCTTTTTTATTTTTGTCTTTTTCATTTAAAAGTATCAATTTTTATTTTTTTAAATAAAAATAATCATATACTAATATCAAAATTAATTTTTAACTTAAATTATCAACATACCATTTTACTTATTTTTACAAAAATGATTTTTTGTGTATGTTTTATTTGTTCATATTTTGTTTGATTTATTTTTGGATTCAAATAGCGGTAAATGTTTGAAATAGTTTAATTAAAATAATTGTATGACGTCAATTTTAAATGTAAAATTAGTGTTTTGGATTGAATCGTTATTATTTACTAGTAATATTTTAATTTCAATTCTAACTAAATTTAATTAGCTATTTAACTATATATATATAAGTATTGTAAATTTTAAGTGTTTTTATTTTGTCAAAAACTTAAAACAAATATCCTTTAATATACATGTCATATAAATGATTAGCATATATTTATATGTAATACAAAATATATCTCGTATTGTAAATATGACATAAGCTGAATTATAATATAATATATATATATATATTGTATTATAAATTTATTGAGATATGTACGAATATATGTTAGGTGTGATATGTTAGATTCATGCTCTAACTTAAATTTGTTTATACTTGCAATGAACTAAAATCTATTCACATTCAATTTGTTTCATTTATTTTAAAAAGATTTTGTTTAAAATATATACTCTCCCCATGTCCCACTACAATAGTCTTGTTTACTATTGTCCAAAAAACAATAGTTTTATTTTCACGAATAATCATATCACTACCCTTACTCTTTCATTATTATTATACAATTGCCACTACATTTTACACTAATACACCCACAAGGACAAAAATGTCTTTTACCTGTGCTTTTTATCCATATTCTTTAAATCTCGTACCCAATACAATCAAGACTATAGTTCCGGAACACATGGAGTATTTGTTTAGTTGTAATTTAGAATTGATTTGAAATCAAATATGAATATAATTTTTTATTTCAATATTATTTTAATTTGTTATTTTATATAATAGTAGTGTAATATAATCTTTTTGGTAGGAAAATAATGTATTTATATTGAAAATTATTACTAACTTGTTGAAAGTGATTAAAATTGAAGGCAACCTAAGTCCTTGATTTATATAATAAAAAAATAAGAATATTTTATTTTATTTTTAGCTTTGAGTTGTTATTTTAAATTAAAAGAATATTAATATAATGAATAATTAAAGGATATCTGTAAATGATATCAATACGAAAACAGATATCAACATATCACTCTAAAATGTAAAATATTCTGATTTATTTTTTTCTTTTTAAATGACTTTTTTTTATTAAAAGCTAATTTAAAATATCATCTATAAATATAATACACACTCAACGCGCATATAAACTGAATATTAAAATAGTTATAATATCTATTTTTCTTAAGTATTGGAATAAATCCAAATCTTTCATATTCCCTATTAAAAACATTAGGAATAACATTCTCTGATTTTCATACACATAAGAATATTCATCGCTTTATATATTATATATATATATTTAATATTTACTCAATTTTTACAAACTTTAAAGATTACACGTGTGTGTATTTAGTAGATACAGAAATTTAGTAATAATATGATTAATAAATAATTAAAAATATATTAGTAAAATTAAATATAACATAATATAAATTATTATTGATTAAGATTAAGGTTTAATAAAAAATTTAAAAATTATAAATTATAAAATATAAAATATAAAAAAAATAAAAGTAAAACAGAACCTAACGATAGGTGTGGTGTGTTTGTTTAGTAAATTTGTTTGATTTTTTTTCTTTTAATGTACGCAATAAATTGTATAAATTATATACAAATAATGATTTTCTTTTTTAAAAAAAAAATATGTTTTTTTGGCATTGTGGAACACATTTAATCTAACCAACACTTTTCAATAAAAACATATCTCTCATAAAATAAATTCATATCATGCAGCATTTTTGGATGCAATGATTTTTTGTGAGTAGTATAAAAAATTGGATCAAAAATGCAAAATACATTTAACATTAAAAATATTTTTATATTTGTATAATTTTTTTTTGTATAAATATTCCTCTATTAATATTATAAGATACCAATAAAAATATTTTTATAATTTTTTCTTAATTTATACTATATTTTAACATAATAATTAATATTTAAAGATCAATTCGCAAAAAATAAATGAGACTTTTAGAATCGGATAGAAATATATTATTTCATATTGAATATTGACTTTTTATAATGTCTATTTTACTTCTTTTTTTTTTATATAAAATATTGTTGTCTTTTTTTTTTTTTTTTTTTTTATTTATGGAACAACTGTTATTGAATATTGGTGTTGGGATAATAGAATATTTTTATTTAAAATAGTATTATATTTAATCTATACATGACTTAGAGTTGAATTTATGGAAATACCAAACTGAATTATCTGTCCCATTATCACATCCTATCCTCTATTCCACAGACATAGTGTGTATATATACATATACACGTACGTATATGTTATACATACACGACGTATATGCATACATATATAATTGTTGTACCAAATCACAATATTAGAGAAAAATACACGGAAAAAAAACAAGGCAAGGCAATCAAATTAAAGAAATCCAAAAATTCTTGAATAATTCAAATTACACAAAAACATATATACACTAGAAAAGAAAAACACAATTGGATACACACAAACAAAGTGAATAAATTCGAAATACTATTTGGGAGTAAAAGAGAAGAAGGGATAAACTTACTACAACTATGTAATAATAATAATAATAATAATAATAATAATAATAATAATAATAATTCCTCCTTCTCATAACTATGTATCTATTTGCTTTTTACAGAGGATTTTAAAAATATTAGTATTATATTGAGATGTAGTAAGAATAAAGTAGAAATGACTAAAATAACGTATTGTGTGATATAAAGGTAATGACAAAGGTAATGACATTTGTGTAATATATTGTAAGTTGTGAAGGTATTTGTAATGTTACGTAGACAGTACAATTAGTTAAAAAAAAATGAATACTTTGTTATGGACGGACTAAAATAAAAAAAAAATGGATAATTTGTTATAAAACGGAATGAGCAATAATAATAATAATAATAACAATAATAATAATTTTTCTTAATTAATTAATGCACTTTCCAAAATCCAACCAAAATTGAAGGAGAAGACACTTACCAGACAACACAGAATCTTCCACTCCAATTTAGACAAACACTTTATACTCAGAATTATGACGTAACATATGTGATTATGTATATATACATACATATTTATATGCCATTTTATTTTATTTTTTATCATAAAAAAATATTATCATTTTTTTTTAAAGTTAAAAATCATACTATAACAGTATTTTTTTTGCTATAAAAAAAATAAATAAATACTTATCAACACCCCATTCTTATTAAAAATTTGTGTGGCAAATATTTGAATATACAAGGAAAGAGTATAATAGTCCTCCAAAATTACAACTCCTAGGGCCTATATGGATAATATAATTACTTCTCCATATACAGGTACATAATAGATAATACATACATATATATACACTACCATATACATATTCTGAACTAAATCTGCTTTTGGCTATCTGTTGGACTATCCAATTTTATTTTATTTTATTTTACATATATATATATATATTTAATTTCAAATACTTCTCAAAATATTTTAAGTTTCTAGGAATTTTCAAACTCTAGGATCATTCTCTTCTCTTGGGTTTCTACCAATCTTGACGAACACACACATACACAAATCCAAAATACCGTAAGGTTTGAATCTATTCTTACGCTATTCATCGATTCCTCGCTCTCTAAAATCGCCAAATCAAATCCAAAATTAATAAAATCATTTTTCTCAATAAAAAATCACATCAAGCACTAATTTTCAATTCAAAATCTTACTATTTTCAAACTAAAAAACACAAATCCAAACATCAAAGAAATATCCCATTATCATGATATCCAAAACTAAGTGTTTCAGATTATTATTAAAGTAGGAGCCCACTAAAAGAAACATACATAATTCAGGTGTAGCTGCAAGAAGATATGAACTATATAAAGTCAACTATTGAGATTACAATTTACATGAAAAAACATAAATAGAATAATAGTAATAGCTAAAGAGGGTTATGGTGCATGCAATTTTTTAATTTTAAATTTTTTAAATAAAATCAATAAGAGATGAACATTTGCTTTTTACATTTTATTTTCCTAGTGCAGCTCAAAACACACAGCACCAACTTTTCACCACTTCATTACCTCAATGAAGTAAATTTAATTTTGTTGCCTAAGTTTAGGTATTTGATGTAACCTCTTAGAAGAAGAAGCATAAGAATTTTAAGGTGCTACCTCTATTTACTTCTATAATACTTTTAGTGCTTCTTGAGTCATCAAAATGTCATTCATATTGACATTTCTCCATCCCCTTTCTCCCTCCTCTTATCTCTCTTTCTATCTCTTCATCTCTCTCTCTATATATCTATGTATCTATCTATCTCTCTCTCTCTCTATATATATATGGACAGATTTGTCATGTCTACCATCAATAGATGACATCATAAATCACAACACACTGATTAGTCTCAACAAATTTCTAGAAATGGATAGCTTTTTAATTTAAAAATCATGATTCCTCTAAATTGACTTATATTCATTGCCCCCTCTTTTTTATTCCAAAGGGAACAAAATTTCATGTCATAATATGCATTCCAATAATCACTAACTTTAATCCATTGCAAGCTTCTTCACATGTGACCTTAGTTAGAAGCATTCTTTCTAGTAGTATTATCCTCAACACTTTTTATTTTTTTTATCTCTTGAAATTACTAATGTTGTGTTTATATACTCTATGTTTTGGAATTGTTTTAGAGATTTTTCGGTAATAATAGAGTGTTGGAATAAAAAATAAGTATTAGATGTGATGTTTTTGTATAAAAAATATTGACCCTGTCCAAGAGAAAAGTATTCGGTTTATCTTATTTGCTAGTCTGTCATAGATGTATCAATTTTCTTTTTTATTTGTCTTATATAGATAATATTCCTACAGTTCTAACATATTTACAACAATATCACTTATAAACTTTCTAAAAACAAACATAAGTCATAAGGGTATTTTTATCTTTCCACTCAACACAACTATTTTTACAAATAAAATGCTATTATTCATTAATTTCCGTACAAAAAATCAAATATTTTTACATTATTGTAGGACTGGGGTAGTAAGTTTTTTTTATATATTATTTCAAATGAAAAGTAGATATTTTTTTAATTATAACTATTGATGAATGAAATAATGTAGGAGTGATTTAAAAACATATGTAAACAGAACCTAAAATACTTTATATCCAAGTAGCTCATAATTATTATTATCTCAATCTAAAAGTTAGAATAGTGGAGAAATTTACAATTCACATAAGTCTAAATATAATTTGTTATTTCTGTAGATGTGGAACTCAGAATCTATGTCAGAATCTATGTGATACTAAGTTCAATTAATTGAAAATTTATCCTCTCACTTAAAGAAAAAAATTAGTTCTAAAAGATATTTAAATTCTTGATTCCTCGAACAAATTCATACCATGTGAATATAAATTCAATTTTTATCAATGCATAAGATAAAAAAGAAAACTTACACAGATAAAGAATGGCCACTCTGTTCTTCAAAAGGGATGCCTTCAACTTCAGATGAACTTATGTAGGCGCCCCGAAAAAGCTCGTGTGTCTCGTCTGTCTGCCTCGTATTATATCCTTCATCCGCCTATAAATACCCCTCCATCGCTACAAATCAAATTCGAGGCCAAAATCATTCAATACAAGAAAAAAATATATATAAGAATGCAAGAAATGAATCAGTTTACTCATGAAAATTTCCCATCCTTCCCGGCCTACTCAGTCTCGATGCAAAACAGCTTCCCTGAAACGCCGTTCAGCAGATCATACACAGCCAGTCTGCCATACTACCACACATCTCTAACAGTCCTCAACGAACAAACCCTCAATCCTACGTGCATCAGCAGTAACTCAGCCACTTCTGATGAAGCAGAGGATCACCAAATCAAGATCATCGATGAAAGAAGACAAAGGAGAATGATATCAAACAGGGAATCTGCTAGACGATCAAGGATGCGTAAACAGAGGCATCTAGATGAGCTTTGGTCCATGGTTCTTCGATTAAGGACAGAGAACCATAATCTCTTGAACAAAGTGAATGACTTATCTGCAAGCCATGACAGAGTTGTTCAAGAGAATTCTAAGCTTAGGGCTGAGGCTTTGGATCTTCACCAAATGCTTAGGGATCTACAAGTTAGTCAAAATATCCATAATTAAACTGTTTTGAAAGATCTTGAAGATGCCTAGAGATGTTCTTCACTTAATGCTATCGGCTCTATACTAATTCGAAGAGATAAAAGCATTTTACAACTTAGAAGTTAACCTTATTGTATCATCAGTAGTGTTTGAATTCGATGTTTTTTTTTTCCATGAAAGGACAGTGTATCTTAGTGATTCTATATATCAAACTCATCAAGAGCTGTGCAAAATTGCAACAAATGAATCAGAATCAACAATCAAGATAGCACATCAAATCCAATGGAAAAAAATGAAATCAAGTATGAATATGTATATGTCTATGAACAAACATGCCCAATCTATGCGTTCTTCTTCTGCAATCGAATGTCACATTATCGAATTTCTCTAATTGCGTTACGAAAGCTGATAAAATTTTGTTTGAAGCTGATGATGTATTGAACAATGAATGAAATTCAGAAGATTGAATAGGAACACTTCACCTGTCGCCATGGATGCTGAGAATGAACGCTTTCGTTGCACTGAATCCCTTAAACCCCTGGAGAAAACTGAGATGTCCATAGCGATGCATAATTTCAATTAGCCGTTGCTAAAAATCAATTTTCAATTTATTTCCATCTTCTATTTGTTCCAGATAAAAGTGCCAAAGAACAAAACCCTAAAATTGAATCCAAAACCGGTGCTGATAAGTCCGAGGCAAACGGCATGATTAGGTGACAATTTCAAGGAGGGCGAAAAAGGTATGAGCAAATGCAAATCGTCATCGTCTTGGAACACTGCATCGCAGAAAGAGATGCAGGTGAAGAAAAGACTCCATCGTTGATATTTTCTTGGAGCTCCAAGGACTCCCAACATATTTTTATATATTATATATACTTAATTTAGTGTTTAAATTATACATTAAATTATATCGTTATTATTATTTATATTAATTAGATTAAATTCCTATGTTATATAATCTGTTGGGTCAAATTTATCTTTAAATTTGAATAAAGTTTATGTCCAATTTTGTCGTGATTTTATTCTATTTTATCAAACTTATATTTTAATTTTAATAAAATTTATCTCCAATCTTTGTTTGTCATAATTTCGTTAAAGTCATGTCTTAGAGTTGTATTTTCGGTTTTAATTTCGATGTGAATGAGTTCAATTCTTTTATATTCTATTTTCGTTGGGAACAAATTTATTTTTGATTTTAATTTTATTGAAGAAATATAATTATACATTTAATTTTATCTTAAATTTTAAATTTTTTAATTTTAATTAAATTATTTAATTATATTAATATTAATTTATAATTATTTTTACTATATACCCTTTTAATACGTCCATATTACAATCGGAGGGAGTTATTTTATTTTGAGTCTAACATTGAGTGTGATATAATTTTATTTCCAGCTCTAAAAAGCAGAGATTTTTTTTTTTTTTTATCTATATTAAATTATTATTATTAAAATATTCATTAAATTAGTATAGTTTAAATTTGAAAGTCTGTCATCTGGACTTGGGGTCCGGGATCTTCCAACTAAGTTTTCAGACATTTTCGGGCCAGGCCCATAGGTGTGAACAAGGTCCAGGCCCAATTACAGTCCTCTATCCTCCCCCACGCGATATGGTTGGACCGCTGCAGAAATGCGGGCAGCAGCGTCAGGCGCCTGGATTAGGTGTCCGCGTTCCCAAGAAGATGATGAGGATGATGACGACGATAAGGCATCCACAGAACGGCGTATATCAATGGCTGCAGAGTACCCCTACCGATGCGTAATTGAATCCTCCGAAGAATAATTGAGGGAGAAGCTGAGGCGGTAATGGCGATGCTGATGATGGGATTGAGCTTGCAGTGCGTGCTCGACTTCGTCGTTGCAGGCGTTTCACTGATGATCGGATTAGGTTTATTCGCGTTCATCGCATCAATTTTATGCTCCGCTGCTTTCTACCAGAATGTTAAGGAGATTTCCTGATTGAATCGCGCCTAGGGTTTCTGTGAGTGCTCCTTTATCCCTAATTTGGTACCGATCGATTTTTGGATGAATTTATTCCTAATTTGGTAGCGTAAAGGAGGATTTGGATATTGTTTTTTTTTTTTTTTTTTTTTTTTGTGTAGTTCTGTAAGCTTTCTTCAATGGCGGATTTGATGGAATTTGGTGTATTTGGTTACAGTGGTTAAGGTTGAATCAAGATTCAATTAGGATTGGTGAATTTGTAGAAATCATTGATTGATTGATTGATTAAATTGTTTGTGGCATTTGTTGTTGATGGATTTGTTTGGATGGTTCTTTTGTTGGCAATTAGGGTTCTTAACCAACAAAAGAACCAAATGATAGATCTTGAAACTTGTGATTCTTTTAACCTTAGAATTGTGCATTGTAAGTTTTGAATTTTTATTTAAATAATGTTTGATGAGAAGTTTTATGAAAGAAAAGAATTTGAGTAACTTGAAATACAAATGGTAAAATAATTGTAAGATTGTGTAGAGACTCAAAAGAAACACATCCTGGTGAAGATTGAAGTTGGTGGGCAAAAAAATTAACCGAATCGTTGAACCGAATTGAATTGAACCGAATTTATGGTTGATCGAGCAAATTAGGTTCGAATACAAATACTGCATATTTGATATATTTGCTCGGTTCGGTTCAGTTTCGGTTTTTGATATTTTTTCAGTTCAGTTAATTATATTTTAAATTTTATAAGGGTGTGTTTGTTTGGGGTTTGGATTTTGAGTTGGGATTTGAATAGTAAAAATTTTGAATTTGAATAGTTGTATAATGTAATATAAACAGGTGTTGATTTGATATTTTGAATGTAAAATTGATTTTTAGTATAATATAAAAAATAAAAAATAGGTGTTGATTTGATGTTTTGAATGTAAAATTGATTTTTAGTATAATATAAAAAATAAAAAATAGGTGTTGATTTGATATTTTGAATGTAAAATTGATTTTTAGTATAATATAAAAAATAAAAAATAGGTGTTTGATTTGATGGTTTTGGAGGGGGGAAATTGGATGAATAGAGTAAATCCAATCCAATTTCCCAAACAAACACACCCTAGTTATATTTGATTCGGTTTCGGTTTGGTCACGGGGTTCGATTTCGATTCGAATATTTGAAATATTTGTAAATATTTTGATTTAATTAGAATTTTAATTATTTTTTAATATATTCTTTTTTAATTTCGGTTCGGTTCGAATTATTTGCAAATATTACAAATATTTTCAGTTCGAATATGGTTCACGATTTCGGGTATTTGTTCGGTTCGGTTCGGTTCGGATATCAAATACCTGCATATTTGCAAATATCTGAACCGTGCCCACCCCAATATATAAGCACATGATATTTCGAATTATGAGACGCAATTTAGCATAATTTGCTCGAACATATGATAGAACTCTTTATAGTCTCGTCGGTCTAATTTTAACATTTTGACTTTTTGACGAACTTCTCCATAAAAGATAAGATAAATAAATGTATCTCATTACACTGAATGGGTAGGGGTCGTTGGAGTGAATGAGGGTATTATATTAGTCGATCTTGACGTATTTTTCCTTCCGAATGTACTTATCTTTTAGGACACTATCTTATTTCATTGGTTTTCGTTGTAATATGGTCTAAAACCGTGTAGTTAAGTAATCGGATGCATCATTTACTTTTTCAGTAACTAGGTCGGATGTCCCCGGCACTCATATATATAATGTAGAAGCACAATCTAGTCGGGCATTTGAGTTTGAACCGGCGAAATTACTTTGATCTTCATTTGTTCGTTCGTTGCTTTTGAGGGCGTTTATGAGATTATTTTGTTCGGGAACTTTTGTAACCATCTCTAGTTGTCTTGTTTCTTGTTTTTCGCTAACAATCCGTGGCTGCAAAAATGCAGGCTCGGTTGCATCCGATGGGCGATTTCGATACGAAAAACTGATGTAGATTCGGGATCTCGTTGTTACGGTTGATAATGTAGTTTGAAAGAGTTTTGTATTGTATATCTATCTATTATGCCTATTGGAACAAAATAAAGGTTCTATTTAGAGACGGATAGTTTTTATTGTTTTTGATATAATACTAGCTTTTCTAAAAAATTAACACATCAAATATTTAATTTAATTTAACTGAAGTTTTGAGTAGTTTTTTGGGTGTATTTTTATGGGCTTAGAAAGAAATTGGTTTAAGTTTGGTATTAAAATAATATATGATAGTAGGGGTGAACAAAATATTCGAAATTCGAAAATTCGATTTGAACCAAGTCGAAATTTAAAATTTGGTTCGGATTGAATTTCTGATAAATTTTAGATTTTTGGATCAGATTGGTATATTTAAAATTCGAATCAATCCGAAATTTGAAATATACTATTTTAATATTTTTTTATTATATATATTTAATATTTTATTAAAAAATATTATATTTTATTATAAATAAAAAAAAAACTCAAAATTATTAATTATATTTTAATATATTTAATTTATATATATTATATTTCCTCCGCCATCTAGAAAGTATACATATTTCTATTTTGGAAAATTCAATTTCAAAGTAAACATTTTATTAAATACCTCACTTTTTTCACAAATACTCTTATTTTACATCACACCGTTATTTTGCAAAAATGTCATTACATTACTTTTAACTAACCTATTATAATTAAAATATTATTATTTCTTAAATATATATTTTGTATGTGGACGGTATGAGTATATATTTAATATTACAAAAGAAATTTAAATATTAAAAGATCATTAAAAATATTTAGAATTTTGAATTTTTTAGTTCGAAATTTTGAATTTCGGAGTTCGATTACCTCAGTTCGATTCGGATTGGTTTTTCAAAAATTTCGGATTTTCGAATCGGTTAGAATTCGAAAATTTGAATGTTATGATAGAATATTTTATGAGGAAAAAAAATGTATTTTTTTTTTTTAAATAAAATAAAAATTTGAAGTTCGGTGTAAAGAAATAAATTTTTTAATTTTATATCATACAATTAAATATATTTTAAATTTATTAACTTATACTACTTCTTTTTATATATTTATTAGACTAATTATTATTTTAATTTAAATTTATTTATTTATATTGTACCATAATTAATTTTATTATCATATATTTAAAATTAATTACTAATTATATTAGTTATAAAATTTTATATTTACATTTAAAAGAACACCATGGACGGGAGTAATATTTTATGTGGTAGAATAAATATTTAATTCGATATTTTTTAAAATATATATAAATAATATTAAAAATTTCAAAAAAGTATATCAAACTTACCATTCATAAAAGAATCGTTAAATAATGTACCAAACATAAAAAAATATTTTAGCGGTGATAAGAATTACATATATATATATATATAATAAATAAATAAATAAATAATTATTTTTTAGGCTTCCTAACGTAGACCATACCTCGGATCCCACCCGGATCCGCGACGAAACCCAACGGCCTGTAAAAGCCCAAAACGCGGGGCTCCGAATAGAGCGCGATATTTCGGATCCCTTTCCGTAACAGGGCTGCGACCGTCCGCTCCATCACAGCCTTCCCCAAGCCTATCCCCTGGAAGCTTGGGTCCACCACCACGTCCCATATTATGGCGTTGAACACGCCGTCGCCCGTCGCACGTGCGAACGCCACCGGCCGCCGCGTCTTCTCGTACTCCGCCCACACCACGGCGTCCGTGTGCTCGAGCGCCGTGCGGATCTTCTCCAGGTCGCGGCGGGGGAATCCGACCGACGCGAATACTGAGTTCAGGTGGTCCAGATTGAGACGCTCGGTGCTGCGGTGGAAGGTGAATCCGCGGGCGGAGAGCGACTCGTCGGAGACTGAGTAGGCGGCGGAGACGGCGGCGTCGCGACGGCGGGGGCGGGTTAGGGTTTTTGGAGGGAGAGGATTAGGAACGATGGGGATTTGGGTGGGGAGAAGCATTTCGTTGCTTCGATTTTCGGCTTTTTTTTTTTGGAATATTATTTATTTATTTATTTATATTTGATGATTTTATTTTTGATTGAAATATGTGGTGGGAGATTTTTAGAAAAATAACTACAACTACAACTATATGGGCGACTGGGGTGTGCTAAGTTGATATAGACAATTTCGTCTGCTTATTTTTATTTCACATTAAAAATATTTTTATATTTATATAATTTTTTTATAAATTTAATATTATAAAACACTAATAAAAATGTTTTGTCATTTTATTTTAATTTATACTATATTTTTTTATAATAATTAATATTAAATTATCAATACTCAAAAAAATAAATGAGATCTTAGAGCCGGACGGATGTAGTATTAGATATATATATATATACTTATAAAATATTCTCTCCATCTCAACTAATTTATTTACTTCAGCTGGGGCACGGAGTTTTAAGTATGTAATTAAAAAATGTATTAGTAAAAGTAATTATGATATAATAAAAATAATTATAAATTAAGATTAAAATAATTAAATAGTTTAATTAAAATAAAAATATTATAATTATGAATTTAAAAATATAATTAAAGTGTATAATTATATTTTAAAAAAAAAATAATTTATATAAGACGAACAAATATGAAAATAATAAACAAATTAAATGAGACGGAAGAAATATTAAATTAAATATACTATGTCCGCCACCGACGTATTCAAGTAGTAGAATTAACATGTATAAAGACTATTATACTTTTAATATTTATTTTATTATTTGATGACATTTGTGAAAATACATTTAGTAAAAATGTAAACGGATACATACGTGATAAACATATTAAAATGATAAAAATGAGTAGGTTGACGATGGACATGAGTATTTAAAAAAAAAAAAAAAAATCTAAAATAATAGATTTGAGAATATTTTAGTTTGAATTTCGTATTAAAATAATATACGATATGATATTTTATGAGAGAAAAAATATATATATATATATACATTAGAAAAATAAAATCAAAATAGTAGAAAGTTGTTTTTGAAAGCGAAAGAAATAAACCCAAATTAGACGGATTAGTATTTTTTTTTTGTTTTTTTCATATTACCTCAATCTACTGTCAATATAATTATTTTCCGTTTAAATTTGTACAATTTTAATACTCTCAGTCCCATTGAAAGGTTGTCATTTTTCATTTTCGTCCGTCCTAAAACAACGTTACCATTTCTTAATTTAGTAATTGTACTACCTACTTAACATAATAAATATCATTTCAACTTACATTATATTACACAAATGTCATTACTTTTATATTACACAATACTAATATTGGCATTTTCGTCATTTTCACTACAGCCCATTATATTACTAATAGTAAAAAATTTACGTGCAAAAAGTAAATATCAACCTTGTATCGGGACGGTGGGAGTATATAGATTTTTTTAATAATTGTATTTTTTAATAAAATATATCATTATATTTTACACAATATTATAAATAATATCAATTTAAATATAAATAATTTTGAAGGTAAAATTATTCTTTATTATTTTTCTATTATATTATTACATATAAAATACTAATATATTAAAATTAATTTACAAAATGTACATTGTTACCTTTTCGTCGGACGAAAGAAGTATAAACATTGTTATTGATGACCGACACTTGATTTGTCAAAATAATACTCCATCTGTCTCAGATACTGTGTTTGCTACACTGTAGACACAGTATTTTATGAGGAGTGTAATTAGTAGATAATTAAGAATGTATTAGTGAAAATAATTATCTTATAATATAAATAATTATAAATTAAGATTAAGATAACTAATTAGTTTAATTAAAATAAAAAAAAATTAAAAATTTAAAATGAGATTAAAGTGTGCAATCATTTTCCAAAAAAAGGAAAGTGACATGGTATTTGGGACGGAAAAAACGACAACATGGACATGGTATCTGGGACGAAGGAAGTATGTATAAAGGACCAACAAACAACAATGGTCCACTAGTTAATCGACAAGTTTTTACTAAGGGTAGGTTTGTTTAAGAATTTGAATAATAAAATTTTTTAATTTGATTAGTGGTATGATGTGATATTTTAAATGTAGAATTGTATTTTTCTAGTATAATACTTTATCTGTCTCATATCTATATATTTGTTTCCTTTTTTACAGGGTTTTAGAAATATTAATATTATATTGAAATGTAATAGCAATAAAGGTAAAAAAAGTTAAACTAATCTTATTAGTATTGTATGATATAAAAATAATGATATTTGTGTAATATATCGTAAATTTGAATGGTATTTGTAATGTACGGTAGATAGTACAATTACTAAAAATAAAATTGGTATTTTGTTATAGGATGAACAAAAATAATAAAAAAATAGATAGATTGTTAAGGAACAAATGAAATATAAAAAAAAATAATAAGTATTTAATTTGATATTTTTTAAAAAAATAATAATAAATAATAGAAGTAGATGGAAAACCGCCAAACATCCTAAGAACACTGTGTGTTTGCTTGGGGTTTGGATTTTGAGTTGAGATTTGAATAATAAAAGTTTTGAATTGAAATAGTAGTATAATATGATATAAATAAGTGCTATGTGATGTTTTGAATGTAAAATTAATTTTTAATATAATATAAAAAATAAAAAATAGGTGTTTGATTTTTAATTTTTTTTAGGTAAAAAATTGATGAATAGTTTATAATATATTTAAATATCATTATTATATTTCACATTATTAATAAAAATATTTCTATTATTTTATTTTCATTTATATTACATAAATCTACATATAAAAAAAAATAAATGAATATATTAATTGAGAGCAAAGAAAATATAAAGTGTGTTTGTTTTGTAAAATATTTTGGAGAAATATTTTTTTTTAATTTGACATATAAAAAATTGTTTTATAATATAAAAATAATAAATATATATAATATACATAATAATTTTTTTGGAAAAATACCTATAATTTTTATTTATTAGTTCATTCATGCAGTAAAAATGTATTCAAAACTTTTTTGTACCAAATTAAAATAATAATAATATTTTAATATTTTTTTTTTTATAAAAAGTAAAATTAATATGTATTAATAATATATATTTGAAGTAAAATAGAGTAGATATAAAAAAAAATAAAAAAAAATGTAACGCTATAAATGAGTAAACAATTAAAAAAATAATTATATATATATATGTACTATTTTAGTAGAAAATAAAATAAGAGAATTATTTATTTTTATTTATTTGGCCTAATTGCTATCGTGCAGCAAAAGCTACCATCTTCAAGATCTCGCATCTCTCTGTTCGCCGCCGCTGCCGATATCCGCCGCTGCCTGAATTCTCTGCGACTGAGCAGCCAATTCCGCGTCTACTAGGTTCTTCCTCATTCGTCCTTCTTTCCTTTTCCTATATGCAATCAGTTTTTCTCTCTTAGTGAGATTTCTGCTTATTGATTTTTATTTTTATTATTATTTTTATGCTACCTTCCTTACTCTGATTTGATGATTGCTGCTTTGTTTCATATCACAATTTCCAATATTTGCATTTGGAGTCAGTAATTGTTTCGTCCGATATTGTTACTGTCTCGTTGCGAATTTATCAGATGAAGGATTAGGGTTTTGAGATATGCCTGCTTCGAAAGACTGTAAAATTGCCTCGGAAATTTGAATGGATGAATCTGTTTGTTCGATTTTTGTCAAATAAATAGGTTTACATATCTTCGATTTTTCCATGTTTGATTGAATGTATCTTCTCATCTGAATTTGAATTTGAATTGCACATTGTTCTTTATGGGATTGTTCCAAATTGAGAATGCTTCTCTGTTTTAATTTTTCAACTTCTGTATATATTTCAGCTTCAATTTCATTGTCTCGATATCATGAAATTACACAAAATCAATGGAAATGAGCAAATGTAGGTTATCATTGTATAGTTTGGTTGCTAAATCTTCGAAGAAATAATGTTATCCGTGAACAAATTGATTTCACATGTATAGCCTGCAGTATAGTGAATTAGATTGGTGTATGATTAGTCCTAGAGATCTGCCATTGCTGTTTCTTCTTCGAGTTTATTAATTTGATGGATTTAGCATTTCAATGTGTCTCATTGAGTTTGTGCGCGACATGAATTTGTCATCTTACCCAACTTAGATTTAGTTTGCTGAGAATTTTCAAATTCTTGTTAAGCTTTTGTGTGGTTCTTTTCAGTATGTATTAGGTTTGAGGCTTGAGTTTTTTGTTAAAATAATATTTGATGTGATGTTTTATAAGAAGAAAAAGTATATTTATATCAGGGAAGGGAATATAAAGTTCAAATAGTAGAAAATTGGATAGAAACTCAAAAGGAACAAACGAGTTTAATTATATATTGTCTTTTCTTTTTCATTGAAGTTGTATGTTTTCAATAATTGAAATTTTAAGGCGACCCAAGTTGAATCGTATGGAGCTTGATAGCGAAAGAGATATGTATGATATGATACTAATGTATTTAGTAGGGTATTAAATCGTAGACACTTCCTCTTTTGCTGTAGTTTCGACTGCACTACTCGATCCATTTTGATATTGAAAATCAGATTTTTGATATTGACAGCGATCATTCTTTTCTGAGTGAACTCGAAAGTTCCTTTTCAAGTTATTGAAATTCTAGTTATAGGAATAATCGATCTACGAGTGAAGATTCCGTTAGAGAAAGTTTACTTATGGTGTGTTTGTTTGGGGGTTCGGATTTTGGAGTAAGATTTGAATAGTAAAAGTTTTGAATTGTAATAGTTCTATGATGTGATATAAATAAGTATTGATGTGATATTTTAAAAGTAAAATTAATTTTTAGTATAATATAAAAAATAAAAAATAGGTGTTTGATTTGATATTCTTGGGGGAAAATTTTTGTGTGAATAGTACAAATCCTTCAAACAATTGTAGCTGACCGATTGGCAAACAACAGATGATTTTATTTCTTATTTTTCCCTAGTATCCCAATGAATGAGTTTCTTTCGACAGCCGTGGAAATTAGAATGAACATTTTGTTTGTACTATGTTTGTGCAATCTGTATACTCGTACATTATTTTTCTATTCAGTATTTCTTGTGTAATTCTTAGAGTGTGTTTGTTTGGGGGTTTGAATTTTTTGTTGGGATCTGAATTGAAATGGTATGATATGATATAAATAGGTGTTGATGTGATATTTTGAGTATAAAATTGATTTTTTTAGTATAATATAGAAAATGAAAATTAAGGGTTTGATTTGATGTTTTTTCACGAGGGGGATTGGGAAATTTTAGTGAATAGTAAAAATTTGATGGAATTGGATAGAAGAACACACTCTTAGCTTATTTTCATTCAATTTGTAGCTTATCCGTCGAGTAATGCTAAAAAATTACAGTGACAATACTTCTCTTGTGCCATTATTTCTCAGGGTAAAAAAAAAAAAGATGGATGATGTGATAACCGATGTCCCGCCTCCGTCGAGGTTCTTGTTGGATGATTTGAACAACTTCGCTACTCCGCCGCCGCCCCTCCCGTCGCCATTCCTCGTCTTCCCATCAGCTGATTCCGCAAAAAAGTTCTCGCCTTCGCTGCTCATCATCGCCATGTCGACCCCATCTCTCCATTTCTTACACCACATATCCTCGAAAACAGTCGTCGGGACGCTAATTCTCCCCGAAATTCCGTTTTCTGGCAACTCAATCGAACCGTCGCTTAAAGACAAGTCCTGCAACATATACACCCTCAACGACGACAGCGGCGGATCGATTATGATTGTCCTGGTTCAGTTCCCCGTAACTCCCGAAAGAGCCCATGCCGTCGCAAAGCTGCTGATCGGCGAAAGAATCGTACCCGAGCGGGTTCTGATTCTGGATTCAATTCGAAGCTCTAATTTCCGCGGAAAGCTCGACCCTGACGAGACGATTGCTTTCAAACTTGAGACATCCTTGGAGAGAAAGAATTCGGACATCGGAGAATCCCCGTTATTCAAAACGCTCGATTATTATCCTTCCGGAAGCGTCGTCGATGGTCTCGCTGCGGCCTTATTGAGTCGATGCGAAGTTAGGAAGATCAAGGCGACTTTGTGCGTTTCATGGCCCGATTTGGGGTTTCCCGTTATGTCGCTCGTCAAAATTTTGCTGCTCAAGAATGCGCTGTCGGGTGTGAGTCACGCCGTCGATAAGGACTATGAAATCGAGTATTTGAAGATGAGCCGGAGGAGGAAACAGGTCGATTCTGACTTGTATACATGATATAGTATCACGCAATATTCAGTTGTTTTTGTTTTTGTTTTGGTTTTTGTTTTTTTTTTGTTTTTTTTTTGTTTGGTGATCGAGACTTGGAAGTGTTTAAACATTAGGTTGTTTGGTTTTGAATGTTTTGTACTTGTGTTATGGCCTATTTTGATGATAGGCTCGACTGAAAAGACATTGATAGAATTTATAATAATTTACAAATTAGATTATTTATTATTTATTAAAATAAAAATAATGAAATTGTAGTCACAAATGGAGTATTTTGTATAGAAACATATTGTATTTTTTATAATATTAATTCAAAATCAGGTTGAAAGGACACAATTTTAATTTTTTTTTTTTATAAAAATACATTATGTGAAGATTATTATTTAAATAAAATCAAAATAAAATTTAAAAAATCACCATTATTTTTTTCACTTAATTTTACATAACAAACATCATTAAATCATCAATCAATTGAATGCCATGTTTACATTACTTCCTGAATTAGAAAAAGCAATACTATGTTAAAAAAATAAAAAATGGTCACGAGTTTATCTTATTTTAATAATGTGAAAAGCCGCAACAATTTATCGAGAAATGATAAAGGTGGAATGGACGAAAATGAAAAATATAACATGATATGTGGAAATGTGGGAATATTTTAATGGATATATATATATTTACAATAAATTTTTATATAAAACAAATGTAACGAAATTTTAAGTGGATAGTACTAAATAAAATAATTTAAAAATTATATGATGTGATGTATAAAAAAGTATATTTTATTTTATTTTTATTTAAGTGATGAGATAAAATGTGAAGATAAAGATTAAATATAATTAATTATTTTTTATTTTAATAATGTTGCCGTGGACATAGCAGAATTGGAACGGAGGATTAGTTATTTAAAAAACGAGAGAGAGGGTTTGGAAAAGGAATAAAAGAAATTGACGTAGACGTAGAGACGAAGTGCGGTCTCATTTGAAAGCGTGGGAATTATTAGAATTGAAGGATTTGCCAAATCCAGCTATGGTTATGGAGGACGAAGAATTCTCTAGGGCTGCTCCAATCCAATCTCCCCATTGCGCCCTTTTCTCCGACGCCATTACCATGCCTGATCACGAGATATCTCAATAGCATCGATTCACGAACGAACACAGCCCAATCATCAGCACTAGAGGTCGATCAATCAACAACGTTTCTCAATGTTTATTCATTTACTTATTTAATTTCGATCGATCGACGCTAATCAGGTTGTGTGTGTATGTTTTGAGGTGTGAACTTGTGGTTTATCTCGTTCCAGAATTGTTTTGTGTTTTTCGAATCTGTATTTCGAATTTCTGCCTTCCTGTATCTGTATGTGTATGTAGGTTTTGTGCTCTTGATTGGAGATGTTTCATTACGATTATAATATCGTTTTATTAATGGAACTTGAATCGTAGTCACTTTCTTTTGGTATATTGGATAAACTTGCTTTTAGCATTTGTATTGGATTTAGACATGTATATAACAAGTTTTTATGTGGTTGAGTGGTTTGGATATTTTGGATTAAATGTTTGCAAAAGTTGCTGAGGTTAATTTATCTTAAACATGCTTTTAGTGATTGCGGATCATGTTCTCGAATATGTTGTTTCGTCGTCAGCTGTGCAGTTCATAAGTGTTGTTGTGCATAATTCGTAGAAGATTTTTGTCGAAAGTAAGTTTCAAACTGATTAACCTATGGTTGGATATCACTGGAACTAATCAATCTATGGATTTTTTTGCTGCGAATGCACCATTCTGAATTGATTCATACCTCTTGCTTTGCAGGGTGTAATATCCTGCGTCTGCTGAAGAAAAGGAAGGTTGTTCAGTCTAGTATCGATGGCTACAGATGTTCCTGATGCCAAATTAGTGCAGCAGAAAACCGGGCTATTGAAAGATCAAGTTCAGTTGGTTAAAAGAAAGGACTGTGATCGATACGAGATTGCTCCATTTCCTGATAATTTGTCGTTTGCAAAAGGTTTTTACATTGTTGTTCGCGCGCTCCAGTTGTTGGCAGAGAAGAACGTTGGACTTGTGCTGATTGGATTGGCTGGACCCTCCGGTTCCGGGAAAACTGTGTTGGCTGAGAAGATTCTCAACTTTATTCCCAACATTGCCATCATTTCTATGGACAATTACAATGATGCGAGTCGAATAGTTGATGGAAACTTCGATGGTAAGGTGACACTTCCTCTGTTTTCATTATCATCTTTCAGCCTATTCCAATGTTGTTAATCGAAAATTTTCTTTCCATAGTAGATAATATGAAAAGTTATGCTTCTTTCGCTTGCTAATTTTCGATTTTACTAACTTGTAGAATCGAATGTTATGAAATCGAATTTTTTCTTTCCATAATTATCATGCTGCAATTATAACCTGGTTTGATCTTATTAGTTACCTTATCAAGAACTGTATTGTGTTACAGATCCACGCCTGACGGACTACGAAACTTTGCTGAAGAACATTCATGACCTAAAGGCAGGGAAACAGGCTGATGTCCCAATATACGATTTTAAAACCAGCTCGCGCACCGGATACAGGTAATTAATCAATCCTTCGATGTCATTTACACAAAAACTTTGATCCTCATGTTAGCACTCTTTCTTTTTGCTTAATCGAATGGATGTTGATTTCATTAATCCAGGGGAGAAAGTCAAATCGAATTTCTAATGGATCATCACTCCATTAGTGTTACATTTTTTCTGATTCTAGCATCTTGTTGATGGCAGGAAAGTCGAACTCCCTAGCTCCCGAATTGTGATCATTGAGGGCATATATGCTTTGAGCGAAAAACTGCGTCCTTTTCTGGATCTTCGAGTATCTGTAACTGGTGGCATACATTTTGATCTCATCAAAAGGGTTCTACGTGATGTGAACCGTGCTGGACAGCAGCCCGAAGAAATCATTCATCAAATATCCGAAACAGTTTGTCTTCGAAAATTCTATGATAAGCATACAATTCAATGCCTTCTTTCGATCGATTACTGCAAATTCACAGCTAATTTTCCTAACAGGTATATCCAATGTACAAAGCTTTTATCGAGCCGGACCTCCAATCTGCGCATATCAGAATTATCAACAAATTCAATCCATTTACCGGATTCCTTTGTCCTACATATATCCTGAAGGTAATCTTCGAACTTTACTATAATTCGATCAATGATGCTAGTGCTTTGTGGAACTAATTCTCGCATTTTCGTTTAGTCTCAAAGGACTGCGACTGTGGAGAAAATAAAGTCTGTTATGTCTGAAGAACACACCGAGTGCACTGAGCAGACTTACGACATATATCTTTTACCTCCCGGCGAGGATCCAGAAACTTGCCATTCGTATCTAAGGATGAGGAACAAGGATGGTAAATACAATCTTATGTTTGAGGTCTGCTTCTAACATCCACACATGTCGATAATTTTGCTTGTTGGACTAATACTGAAATCGAACAAATGCTTCTGAGTTGTAGGAATGGGTTACGGATCATCCATTTGTTATATCTCCGCGAATAAGTTTCGAAGTTAGCGTACGCCTTCTTGGTGGATTGATGGCCTTGGGATACACCATTGCGTCGATTCTCAAACGCCGCAGCCATGTGTTTTGCGATGAAAGGGTCTGCGTGAAGATCGATTGGGTCGAACAGCTGAACCATCCTTATATTCAGGTTAAGAGCATTTACAAACTTGTTTTTAAAGCTTATCGAGCATATAGGTAACTCATTTTAATCAGTAGAGCTGTAAACAAGCCGAACTGAGCCGAGCTTGTCATGTTTGAGTTCGACGCTTTTAAGGACTCAAGCTTGGCTCGTGGTCCTTCGTTTAGAGATATGAACTCAAATTTTTGTTTGAGCTCGGCTCGTTTAACAATTTTTTTTGTTCGTGTTTGGTTTGGTTTGGCTTATTAATTTTTTTAAAATAAAATAGAATTAAATATAATATTTATAAAGATAAATACTTATTAAATATTAAAATATTACTCCCTCCTTCTCACTAGTGTTCACCTCTCCAGTTTTGTTTGTTCCACTTATGTCACTTCTTTTAAAAAAAAAAAAAGAATTATACATTTTAATTTTATTTTAAACTTTGTTAATTTATATAATATTTTTTTAATTTTAATTAAACTAATTAGTTATTTTAATTTTAATTTAAAATTATTTTTACTAATACATTCTTAATTATTTACTAATTATATCTCTCTTAAATTATTGTGTCTAACCAGGAGTGAGGAAGTAATAAAATTTTTTTTATTAATATTGTCAAATCGTCCGCAAACAAGCTCGAGCTTAACGAACGAGCTCTTAACAAACTCAAACGAGCTGAGTTTGCAAACTGTTTGATTGTTTCACAGCTCTTATTTGATGTATTCGAAACTCTTCCGTACACGGCAGGTGCAAGGAAGAGATCGCGCTTCAGTAAAACACGTAGCCGAGCAGCTGGGATTGGAAGGATCGTACACTCCGCGCACTTATATCGAGCAAATCCAAATGGAGAAGGTCGTCGACGAGATTCTGGTAAGTCTCCGGCAATCTGTTAACACCCTATCTCTCTGCAAGACAAGATCCTAACCCGAAAGTTCAACAGGTTTTACCAGATGATTTGAAATCGAAGCTTTCTCTTGTCGAGAATCTCTTCTCGAACCAGAAGGAAACACTTCCCCGAATGCCGGCTAAAAATCCGAAGAGGTGCACTTTCTCATCCCATCCATTTTTCACATTCGAACTGCCTTAACATAACATGCTCGACATTATTTGTTTCGACAGTGGGATGTCCCGATCGTACTCAACAAACTTGGACAAAAACATGTCGGATATAAATATTGGATTCGACGACAGAACAACCGACTCGCCATCAACACTCGTCTATCAGGTTTATTCATTTCTTCTCAAGCTTTTCTATTTTGTCGAAAGATTATATATAATATGTAATTAATGATGCATTTTTCTAAGCTTTTAGATAAAATAGTTATTTAACATGATATATGAACGAGCAAGACTATATAGTACTTTCTCCTTCCGTTAAATTTATTTTCATTTTTCTTTTTTGTCTGTCCGTTAAATTTATCTCATTAGTAAAAAAATCAATATTTCATTATTACTCTTCATTCAATACTTGTTTACAACAAATATCATTAATTTTATTACATTATTTCTATTCATTCTCTTTAATTCTATTTTTTTTTAAATAAAATATTCACCGACATTCTCGCTTCCGCTTCGTCCACCGCTGCTCGCGCGGGGGCTTCCCTCTAAGGCGGAACGCTCATTTTTCTTAATTTTCATGTCGAGTCCAAATGGACTAAATATTGCCGACGGATAGAGTATGTAATTAATGATGTATTTTTCTATTGGTTTTTGCAGCGAGCTTTGACGCAACTTTCCCAAGTTGTCTCGAAACTAAGCTACCGGATGGACGATTTTACCCTTCACATCGAAGAGCTAACGAGCAACTTAAGTAGCAGTAGCTCCTCTCCCACCTCACTACTCGATGAATCCTTATCGTCGCCATCGTCCTTTAAATCCGGCTCGGAAGATGGATCTCCGACTGGACATCTTCTTCCTTCTCCAAAGACATCTTCTTTGAACAAAGAGGTACGAATCGAAAACCAACATTTGCATGAAAATATAATTTCCACGTTGTGTTTAAAGTAGTACTATAATTTTGATAACTTTCTTTTATTGTTATGCTAAGGATGGCAATGGGTATAGGAAGATCCTATTCGACCCGAATCTAACTCATTTATTTGGATTTGTCTTCAATTATTCGGTATCGAGTCGGGTCCGGGTATAGTGTACCCTTGTCGGATCCAGGTCAGGTCTCGGATCCAATGGTGGACCCTATCCGGACCCGAACCCCATCTGAATCCGATTAATATATTAATATGAAAAAATATTTTTTAAATAATATAAATTATATTAAAAATATATTTTTTAGTTTAAATTATTTATTTTATTATAATTTTTTGAATAAAATACATAAGTTTTAATATATGGGTCCAGATTTTGGTCCAATTTTGAATTGAATTTTAAGAATTGTAAAAGTTTTTTTCGAATATGTCAGGTATTATTCTGATTCGGGTATGATCGGGTCCGATTCAGATCTCAGGCCCAACAAGGAGTGTTCGGGTCGGTCCTCGGATCCAGCTGGATCTGACCCATACCCGATCTATTGTCATCTCAAGTTATGGTCTTACTCTTTTTTTAAAAAATAATATAATTAATTAATTATATTTTCTTTGTCCTGTATAAATAGTCTCACTTACCATTTAAGATTGTTTCATCTAAATAATCAATTTTCATTTATAATTTATATTGTCTCCACTCAATTATTTACTATAACTTTATTTTGAGGAAGTATTCAGTAGGGTAAGAAAAGACATTTTTGGGTATAAATGACGAATATTTTGGGAGAAATGTAGTATTGTCGAACATTGTGATTATTGATCAAAACATCATCCTCGATCACGGTGGACTTCTTTCTTTGTCGACAGATATCGAGTTTAGTAAGAGGACAGCGGCAAGTTATGCACCAGGTCGAAAACCTGTGCAAGCTTATTCGCGAAAAATTCGAAGAAGAGAAGAAGAGAAGCAAGAAAGAGGGTGAGAGTGATCATAGTAGTATTGGTCATATAACAACAGGTGCAATATTTGCATCAGTGGCTTTTGGATTGCTTCTGGTTAAGGGTTCCTTCTCAAGAAATTGAAATTGAAGTTTCTAAGGTAATAATAATATAATGCTTTTTGTTGAGTGAGTTACATTCAAATCATCAATTTTGATGTTTTCCATCTTTTGGTTCAAATTTTGATTTAACATAAATATATATATTACTTTTTCGTGTGTGACTGTTTTCTTAGTTATTGTAGATTGTGAGAATTAATGTTATTTGAGTAGGCTAGTTTTAATTATTTTATTAAAAAAAAAACCATAAAAGAACAAACCAACTGAATTGTATGTTGCGTATATATATACACAAACAGATGTATTATCAAGATTTTATTTGTTATCGATTATTGTAAATAATTGTTTGATAAATGAGGTTGATTTTATTTGTTATCGATGATTGTAAATAATTGTTTGATAAATGAGGTTTTGTTTGATGTAATAAAAATACGGTTCGGTTCGATAAACTCTTCATCACTATCATTATATATATATATATATATATTTATTGAGCACGATATAAATGTATAAACAGTAAAACGAAAATAATCAATTCGGGTGTGTTTACTTGTCAGGTTTTACACTTTATTTTACTATTCCTAACTTTTTTTTCATCCAAAAACATTAAATCAAACACCAAATTTTTATTTATTTTATTACGCTAAAATCTAATTTTAAAACATCAGGTAAACACATATTTATAACATATCAAACAACTATTTCAATTCAAAATTTTACTTTTCAAAATCAAAACCCAAAACTAAAAATTTTTTTATTTGAACTTAATACAAAACACAAGCAAGTAGTATTTGTTAAATTTTGAATAATAATCCATTCATCCCTTCTTAATTTATCCATTTGATCATTTTTAATTTATTAGTACACTTTTTTTTAATAAATAATACACATACACTTTACACAATATCGAATAATAAACATAAAGTATTTGAGTTATGCATTTCTTTAATCTATACTCCCCTCATCTTATATTACAAATTTCTTTATATAAAAAAATTACACATTTTAAATTTTCTAAATTTATTTAAAAATCATCCTCTCAGATAGTGAGGAAGCATTAATAATCGATAATATCAAGAACAATATAAGTAACTATTACCATACACCATAAGAATAATTAACCGAAAACGATACTACTACTATTATTAATCCAGAAAATAACAAAAGACACACACAACACAATGACTAGTAAGTAGTAGTACTTCTTACGACTTTCTTTGTAGCAGCAACACTACAAAACCCATAATAAAAAAAAGTACTACTACTGCCCTTATTCAACCAACCCCAAAATCAAACTTCATCAAGAATGATCCCATCAAAAAACAAAACACTTCAACAAGAATGAATGAATGAATGTTTTCTTGTCATAACAACAAGACACCATTCCTTCCCTTCCTTATTCAAAAACATAAAACACCACAATCAAACTTCATTACCTTACTCATAGCATAGCTACTCCTTCTCTTCATCTTCTACAAAACCCCTCAGAACCGACTTCGGCGACCCGCAACGCGCGCCGCTCTCGACAAACTTACAATACACCATCGACCCGTTCGCTCCCATCTCCTCCACAACTCTCTCGTTCGCACCATAACCCTTTACGTCAAAATCAATTACGAGCTCCGCACCCGCCTCAGCATGCACAGAAACGGAAAACTCCTTCGGCTCAAAACACGCCAAAACCCTTCCAACAAGCGAGCCGAGGCTCAAAGACTTAAAGTCATACCCAGCCGCCTCAAAGCTGGCGTAACTAAACCCGTCCTCCGGGGTGACGTGAATAGTCGAGAGGGCAGCTCCCTCGATCGAGTTCATCGAATACCCGCAAGGGTCGAACTCGAAATCGCAGATCTCGGATTCCGGAAGGATCTTCCGTATACCGGAATTCTCAGTCATCGTCGCAGCCGTCGAAAAATTACTTTTATAGAAGACAGAAGCCTTGTCCCGATTCAATCCAGTCATGCACATCTCCAGAGTATAAACGGGTTCGAACGATTCGACAGAATCGTCGGCACAGGCAGCGTAAACGTGCCACTTCTGATTCTTACCGGCATTTCCCATTACATAAGCTCGGCTGCCGGACGAGCCGAGGTCGCCGAAATAGCTATCGAGGACGGCGACTTCTTCGGAGAAGTTTCGGTGCGGGAATGGTTGCGCGCCGGGGAATATAAAGCTTCCTCGAGTGTATTTCACACTTTTGATAGACAAAGAGAGGCCTTCAGACAGCTTGAGTATGGGAGGAATGGCGAGGAGCAATTTTGTCGTCCCGCACGTCTTGATGATGATCTTGTAAGGATAGACGAAGAGGCTCGATTCGGACAGGACATATGAATCGAGATGCTCGTTCGACAGGGAAGCGACGATGGTGCACTCAGCAGGCTGTAAGAACTCGTCGAGCTGAGATTTGGACAGAGATCTAAGGCCCTTTCCTTCGGGATCAGCAAAGATGCTCGGCTCGAAGAAGGAGATTTCGAGCCTTTTTTCAAAGCCTTCGAATCCAATAGCAGAGGCCGGAAGAGCCATTTCAAAGATCGTCAGTAGCAAGGAGAAAGAAGAGAAGGAGGTGCGGGGGAAAGGAAATCGTTGAAAAAAATAAAAACCTAAATAACTAAAACTTTCGATACGTCCGGAGACGTGGTTAGGAGGTCGCTGGAGGAATATCAGGATGGCTTGCGAGCGCACTGTAAAACAAAGAGAAAAAGGATTTAGTGTTTGGAATTTTATAGAACAGTTGAAAGAAATGTCGATGAGATTATTGAATTGGAATGCTTACGTTGGAGTACGCAGCAGATCGGAACTTCTTGATGCCTCCGTTTGGTCGAATGTCTTCGATGCAGTATCCAAGGGGAGCTTCGTAGAATTGGGATTTATTACTACTACTACTACTAGACTTCTTTTTCCCACCTTTTGACTCCATTAGATCATCAACTCTTGGCTGAAGAAATGAGCAGAAAGTGTGTTAAAAGTCACAAATAAGTAAGCCATAGATGAAAGTCATTGAAATTGAAGAATCACAGAGAACATAATTCATCTTTCATATACATATATATATGTGTGTGTGTGTATTTACAGTCGCATATGAATTCTACATTTACACAGATGGAGAAATGAAAAAGGGGGTAGGTGGGGGGGGGGGGGGGGATATACAATACGCCATGGTTAAGAAACACAAGTAATTTCTTTTTAAGAAACAAAACATTATCAAAGCATATTAAGAAATCCACATTCAGTATATGAAGAAGATGAATATTCAGGAAGTTTGGCTGGTGTTTTTGTGTAAAATACATATATATATATATATCAACTCACAAATCTTGGAAGAAAACTTTAATCTGTATACTTGAATATGGTTTAAAAGTACAGAATCAAATTGCAACTCAAGAAGAAAACATCAATGTTATTTATCACGTCGAAATATTACTATGATTCAAATCTCAGATCCTGGAAACAGATAAGAACACATGTTTTTGAAATGCAGATTCAATTAAACCAAATTCTTACGTATCAAGAAGTTCGAATCTGTATTATATGAACACCAATTCACCTTCTATAACAACATACATACATAGAAATATGTATATATACATCGATTCAATATTCTTGGAAGAAAACTTTAATCTGTATACGTGAAAGTGGCTTGAAAACGCAGTATCAAATCGCAACTCAAGACAAAAACATCAATATTAATCATCACGTCAAATTAACTAGGTTAAATTTAATATTGCGATTCAAATCTCAGATCCGGAAAACAGATAATTAACACATGATTTTGAAAAGCCAATACGGTTAACCAAATATCTGAAGGCCTTCAAAACATTCGTACGTATCAAGTAGTTCGAATCCGTATTATACGAACACCAACACCATAAGAAAGATCAATTAAACTCAGAAAGAGGCCTATACATACAATCAGAAGCTATAAAATTCCGAAAAAAACGTATCAAAAACGCTGAACCATAGAAAATCATAAACACCAAGCGTTAATATCTCAATTTCATCAAAAACGATTAAGAAAAAAAGGCTAATGCAAATTCTACGACCTTCCAAGCCAGATCTCAACAAAAATCAACGATAAAACCAATACTTACATCAAATACAAAATATTATTTTCCTTCTAACGATATCCTCCAATCCACAATCCACAATCCGATCTGCAAATTCCTGCGGACAAAGAAAAACACAAACAATCGAAACAAAACAAAACGAATAAGAAACAGCGAAAAGCACCAAACGATTGAATCTACAAATTCCACAAAAACGTCCAAAACACTCACAATAACGATTGCGGCTGCTCAATAAATCCAAACCCTAAAACAAAACTGCTACCTCTCAGAAAACCTCGATCCTTCGTTATTGAGATGGCGTTCTCAAAATCTCGTGAGGCTGAAATGGCAGGCAAGTGTCTGTATATTTATAGGTGGTAAGGTTAATTCTTTGCCACCAATAGTCTCTTTAATTACAACCCTACCCTAGTACTGATTTCCTTGAAAATTCCTTTCTTGCGTAGAGTATTGACTGATTTTATTTTATTTCAAAGAATCAAATAATATTGTTACCTTTTTATTTAATTTGAAATTAATTAATTACCTTATATTAAATATTATATGTAACCTGAATTCAAATAAAATTTTGATACATGGTGAGTACATATAATTTAGGTATAAAAAATAAAAAAAAGTTAGAGTTTGTTTATTTTGCCTAAAATAACACATATTTTTTTAAAAAATAACATATTATGCGTTATTTATTATTTTTATATTACCTATACAATTATGTACGCTTTATATAAAATTTTTTCCTTCAATTGATTTCACAAAAAAAAAAACCCTACTTTTAGCATCCAATTTTAATCTTTTATTCCGTCTGTCTCGATACAAGATTGTCGTTTACTTTTTGCAAGTAAATTTTTTAATATTAGTATTATAATGAGTTGTAGTAAAAAAAAAACGAAAATGTCCATATTAGTATTGTGTAATATAAAAGCAATGACATTATTGTAATATAATGTAAGTTGGAAGAGTATTTATTATGTTAAGTAGATAGTACAATTACTAAATTAAAAAATGATAATTTTATTTTAGAACGAACGAAAAGAAAAAATGACAATATTTCAAAGGAACTGATGAAGTATTATATATTTATAAGTTGTTTAGTTTTAATTTGAAATTGATTTGAAATAAAATGTTAGATGTAAATTTGTGTTTATAATAATATTTGATGTGATGTTTTACAGAAAAACATATTATGTATTTTTATTGAAATTGTATATGATAAATATTGTCGATTTTAATTTGAATCTGTAAAATAACAAAATCAAGGATTATATATTTTTTAATAATATTTTTAAAATTACATATATTTTTAAAAGTAAATATATCATAAAAGAATACAACTTTAGTTGATAATATTATGTGTAAAATTGTTCTACCAATTATTATTAAAAGAATATTAATTAAAATTCATAACAAAAGCAAATAATTATTTTTCAAAAAGATAAATATGACACCCCTATAATATTGTATAGATTAAACTACAATTCTTCTTTTGCAGAATTATATTAATATTTTCTTATTGACCACTAAATTTATGTATATTTTATTCATAATAAAATAACTTATTTATTTAAAATTTTATCAATTTATTTTAATTAAAAAAATCGAATATTTTTAATATATATATCCCTTTATTTTTTATTAATTTTTTAATAAAGTTCTTATAATACTTAACTTTTTATCTATCTCATCTTAAATTATAATGCTATTGTTTTTTTAATTTTCACCCAATTAAACTTACATAAATTTTTTAACCTAGAGAAAATATATTTAAATACAAAATTAAGTATCAGATTGTTTTATTTATTCTGATTTTTTATCATACAATTCTCATAAATTATTTTATTTCACAATAGATCATATTCACATTATTATATGAATAAAAATACAAAAACAAAAATACATGGTTCGCTTAGTGTGACTTTCCCGTCGGGCCTAGTTTCCAAAATATTAGGTTCGACTGAGAGTTTAATCCGTTCGCATTTTCTGGTAGCGGCTGCGGGTTCTCACGTCATTAAAAAAAAATTAATAATAATAAATACAAAAACAAACGCAAAGGAATAAACTTAGGGATTGTTTGGTTTGTATTTTATATACAAATAAACACTAATAAATGGATATGTTTTTAGATAAAAATATATTTTTATACCACTCAAAAGTATTTATTATATACTAAAATAAAAATAATCTTATTAATGCAAAAATATCATTTAATTTTCACATAAATTATAAATATATAATTAATTTATACATAAAGTATAAATGACAAGATTATCAAAAATATCTTTAAAATTTTTACTAATGAGTAAAATAGTATTCCCTCCGTCCCAGATACCGTGTCTGCTACACTGTAGACACGGTATTTTAGGAGAGATGTAATTAGTAGATAATTAAGAATATATTAGTGAAAATAATTATCCTATAATATAAATAATTATAAATTAAGATTAAGATAACTAATTAGTTTAATTAAATTTTTTTAAAAAAAAATTAAAAAATTTAAAATGAGATTAAAGTGTGTAATCATTTAAAAAAAAAAAAAGAAAATAACATGGTATGTGAGACGGACAGAAATTGCAACGTGGACATAATATTTGGGACGGAGGGAGTATTAATTTTTAATTTATTAAATAAATTCAAGAGACTAATTTGAATTAAAACAAATAGAATGCTATTTTATTTTATAAAATATTATATTAGTATAATAGTATTATTTAATTAAAATTTAAATAAAAATCAAATAAACTCTCTGCTGCCGTAATAATTAAAATGGTCCAACATGAAATAAATAATTATTAATTACTAGCATAATTAGTTTCTTTTTCGTGTAATAATTGTACGAAATGGAGGCCAATCATTTATTTAAATTTAATAATTTTATAGTACTATATTGTTGTATCAAAATAACAATAGTCACATGATTTTATTGGCCCAAATTCCAAGATTTCTTTACCTACCCTAAAACATACCTTTATATTCGATTAGTAAATAAAAAAATATTCTATTGATAATGAGGTTAGGTGCTTCTTATTCAAGTAACGTTTTAATTTTTTATTTAGAATGTACAATTATTATTATTGTTTTTTTTTATATTTTTATATACAAATTTTATTTATTTTATGTTATTTTTTATACATGAAATAAATGGCAAATTTGTTATTTTAAATGAAAAAAACTCTAATTGTCTAAAAACACTTAATAAATATCAAATAAGATACTTCATCCGTCCCATAACAAAGTATTCATTTTTTTATTTTAGTTCGTCTCAAAACAAAGTATTCATTTCCTTTTTTAAGTAATTGTACTATCTATCTAACATTACAAATACCCTTACAACTTATAATATATTACACAAATGTCATTACCTTTATATCACACATACTAATAAGGTTATTTTAGTAATTTCCACTTTATTTCTACTATATTCCAATATAATACTAATATTTGTAAAACTACGTGCAAAAAGCAAATGGATATTTAGTTCCGGGATGGAGAAAGTATTAAAAAATAGACGGAAGGAGTGTCATTCTGATTTTTATAGGAGCGTTTAGATGTGTTTGATTTTCATTTTAAATTAAAATAGTCGCTATTAAATTTATACTCCCTTTCATTCGAATGTTTTTTTTTTTTTTATAATAGAGCAAAAAATAACAATAATTTATTAATTAGTAAAGATATGTAAAAAGTTTAAATATACTTATTTATTATTCGACTTTATATAGAAAGTAATTATATTTATAATAATATACTATAATTTAAATAAAAATTAAGAATATTTTGTTATTAATATATAATAATTTTTACTAAAATTAAAAATAAGGTGAGTTTGTGGGTTTGAGGAATTTTGGGTTTGAATTTTTTAGTAGTAAAAAATTGAATTTGAATAGTTATTTGATGTGATATAAATATATATTAATGTGATATTTTAAATATAAAATAAATTTGTAGTATAATAAAAAAAAATATTGTTTGATGTGATATTTTTTTTAAAAAAAATTTTGAATAGTAAAAATGTGTGTTAAAATCCAAAAAGAATACAACCTAATACTTGTATTAAGAATTTGTTTAAATATTAATTAAAATATTTATAATTTTTATAAACATTAAAAATATTTAGTATCAATGTGATACTTTTTTTTGTTTGTTATTAAATTATACTCCATCCGCCTCAATACAATAGTCTTTTTGTCCGTTCCAAAATAATAGTCTTATTTTCATAAATAATCATATCACTATAAAACTACCCTAATTTTTTCATTTTTATTACACAATTGCCACTATTTTTTACACTAATACACTCGCTATGGCAAAAAGATCTTTTATCAATATTTTTTAAATCTCGTGTACAACCTAATTAAGATTATAGTTACAGGACATAAGGAGTATATAAATTTGCATTGAATATAGTATTAAATCCTTTGCTCAAAGAGATTAAATATAAGTGGTATTTTTTGTTTTAATTTGAAATTATATTTTTTATTTAAATTTTAATTTAAATAATTTATTGATATTATATTTAGTAATATAATACATATATTTTTATCAGACTGAATATTTCTGAATTATATTTGAAATAAAAATCTAAGCAACCCTTAATTGCATTATTAGCTTCTCTTATTTTTTAATAGCTTATTAAAAGTGTATTTTTTTATGATTATTGCCCCCAGAAAATGGCATAAATTGCGCCATGTTTGTCTGACAAAAAATTGTAAATTATAAATATTTAAAAATAATGTAAGTAATGGATAAGACATATTTGAATATACACAATACTCCTATAGGGTGTGTTATACATTTTTATATATATTTACATAGAACAAACAAAAAATCGATATTTTTATATAAAAGACAAAAATTAAATATGATATAATTGTGTTTGCTTGGGGGTTTGGATTTTGAGCTGGAATTTGAATAGCAAAAATTTTGAATTTGAATAGTTATATGATGTGATATAAATAGGTGTTGATGTGATGTTTTGAATGTAAAATTAATTTTTAGTATAATATAAAAAATAGATATTTAATTTGATATTTTTAAGAAAAAAAATGAAATAAATAGTAAATTTAAAATTCAATTCCCAATCAAATACACCTTACGTAACACGAAACTTTAAATAAATATGAGGCCAAAGTTGCCTAGCAAACAGCTGAGCTCTTGCATCTTGAGGTTGGAGGTTAATTTGTCTGTTATATATATATATATATATATAAATATATCGTTTTTTTATTATATTAATATTAAATAATCAAAATAATTTTATATATTTGTATTGACCAACAAAATACTACTAAATACTATTCTCTTTGTCTGCCTTCAAGGTCTCATTTATTTTTTGTACGTTTGATATTTGAATATTAATTATTATATAAAAACGTATAACAAATTAAGAAAAATTATAAAAATATTTTTATTAATATCTTATAATACTAATAAAAAAAATTTGTACAAAAAATTATACAAATATAAGAATATTTTTAATATTAAGTATAACGACGAAAAAAGTAAAGGTGACATTTAGAGGACATATGAAGTTTTTTTAATTTACTGCATATAAAAATTCACAGAGGTATATTCGAGTGAGATTAAAATAGTACTCCCTCCGTCCCAGATACCATGTCCACGTTGACGTTTCTGTCCGTCTTATCCCACGTACCATGTCACTTTCCTTTTTTGGAAAATGATTACACATTTTAATCTCATTTTAAATTTTAAATTTTATTTTTATTTTAAATTTTAATTGAACTAATTAGTTATCTTAATATTAATTTATAATTATTTATATTATAGGATAATTATTTTTACTAATACATTCTTAATTATCTACTGATTACACCCCTCCTAAAATACCGTGTTTACAGTGTAGCAGATACGGTATTTTGAGACGGAGGGAGTATAAAATAGTATGGATAAAAATATTTTATAAATATCTGTAAATGATGATCTGATCGTGTGAAAATGGACTTATTCATGTAAAATTATATATTCAAACGCTCTATTAATTGATAGTAATTGCGAATTTTTAAATTATTAAAATAAAAACAAAAAGTGACAGGCTGTAATTTGTGCGATAAGGGCAGCCGACGGCCGCACGTGTGGGTGAGGCGGACAGAAAACACACTGTCTGTCTGAGCTGTATTTCCTTGTCCTATTGTGCATGAAACTACCAGAATGCCCTTGACGCACTCCACTGAAAATCATATGGATTTCGTTTAGGATTTGTTTATTTATTTTATTTTGCTATCATTTGTAATTTTTTTATTTTGTTATTTTTAAATAAATTATTTGGTAAATACTCTATTTCAAAATACATATATTTATTTTACTATTTTAATCCATCTAATATTATTATATATATAATTTTTAGTAATTACATCCCCACAAATAAAGAAAAATTCATAAATCTTACATATTATTATAGCAATGTCAAGCTCGATCAGCCTGTTATTAGTTCGATTCGACTTGTTCATAGAGATAAAGGAACTGAATTATAATTTAAAAATTACTATTTTATCCTAACTAATTTGTCTTATTTACGTACGGAGTTTTTAAATACTGTACAATAAATAAGTAATTAAAAAGTCTTAGTAAAAATAATTATATATTAAAATTAAGATACTAAATAATCTAATTAAAAAGATTTATAAATTATTAATCTTAAAATATGATTAAAATATATAATTATATATTTTTTAAAAAAATAAAATTATATAGGATGAACAAAAATAGAAAAAGTGAACAAATTAAGTGAAACGAAAAGAATATTTTTTTGTTTATAAACAAAATGAGTTTGAGCACGGCTTACGACTAGCTAAATTGAGCTTATTTGTGATAATATATTTATATTATTTATATATTAATATGATATATATATATAAATTATGTCAAAATTTGTATTTATTAATAACATAGGATTATAAAAATTATAATAAATTCTAAATAAAATTATATAAGTTTAACCTATATATTAAAAAAATATGTAGAATATTTATAAAATTCAATTCAAACTCAAGCTGGAGTTTAAATTTTTTGAATTGAATTTTTGTTACTATTTTAGTTTGAATTATTAATTAGTCGAGTCTCTATCGTTAACAAATTTGAATCGAATTCGAACAATCGATACTTAAATTCGCTATGTCCGTTTAACAACACTACATTTATACGATAATAATGTGATGTAAAGAAATATAATAGTTAAATAAAAATAAATATTAATTTAATACTCCATCCGTCCCATAACAAAGTATCCATTTTCCCATTTTAGTCCGTCCCATAACAAAGTATCCATTTTTTCATTTTAGCCCGTCCCATAACAAAGTATTCATTTCATTTTTTTAGTAACTGCACTATCTACTTAACATTACAAATATCCTTACAACTTACAATATATTACACAAATATCATTGCCTTTATATCACACATACTAACAATGTTATTTTAGTCATTTCTACTTTATTCTATTATATCCCAATATAATACTAATATTTTTAAAACTACGTGAAAAAAATAAATGAATACTTCTTTTTGGGACGGAGGAAGTATTAAACATTAAACTCTAAAAAGATAAATTACCAACAAAAATAAATCAATCGTTTATTTAGTATTTTATTTATAATATATATTCTATTATTTGTCCATTTACACTCATTTAGGTAAAAATTTATTGGAGTATTTGTCGAGTTTGAACTTAAAACTCAAATTGATATTATAATTAAGGTTCCTGAAAGTGTTTCTTTTTATGAATTTAGAAAAAAATTAGTTTGAATTTATTATAAAAAAATATTTTTTTTAGAATATATAGAATTCAAATAATAAAATTTGAAGAAATTCGACTGAAGAAACATAAAATAAAAGAAAACTTGCATAGATAAAAAATATATATATATTTATTGTCTGTAGCTCTCAATATAAATATTAAATTACAATGTACTTGGCAGCAACATTATTGTACTAGCTTTATAAATTATACAGGGGCCCTTCAATTGTTGACTAATCACTAATGGACGACGCACATGACGTGGATTCTGCAATCTTCTTGTAATAAAGAGAACTTTATTACAAAGATATATTTAACATATCTATATATAAATAAATCATTTGCACAAATGACTTTTTTATTTTTATAAATTTATTTGTTTTAAAATAAATATAAATTAATTTAATTAAATTTATAACTCCGTAACATTCACTTAAAATTTATTTATTTATATATCTCTTTTCAATAAGAATTTTTTTACCTATATTTAAAAATTTTTATTTTTAATAAAATTAATTATAAATAAATATATATTCTTTGGGACTTAAGCTTGCACGGGCTCTGGATTGAACATTTGATATTGTTCGCTACCGGGCTCGGGATTGGTTCAATCCAATCCTAGTATGATATTGTTTGCTTTGGGTTGAGTCCGTACGGATTTGTTTTTGGATATTCTCCAAAAAGCCTCATATTAGTGGAGTTCACTTTCGACTTATTAGAGAGTGTAATTTTCTTCACAACTTTCAATGTGAGACTTAGGTTATTATTATAACTTACTAATTTATACTACCTAAAATACCGTATCCCTAACAAAATGACTCATCGTTGCCGGGACTGAGAGAGTACTATATTATACTCCATCCCTCCCACCTAATTTGTCTAATTTTTTTAATTTTATTTTTGACGGTCTTATATAATTTGTCATTTTTTTAAAAATATTATAAAAAAATTTTAATTAAACTATTTATTTTAGTTATAATTTATAATTATTATTTTTATTATTTAAATCATAATTATTTTTACAATATATTTGTTAATTATTTACTAAGTATACAATATCTAAAATTCTGTCTTGCAATTAAAGTTGATAAATTAGTTGGGACAAGGTAGTAAATTATTTTGAAAGTATGATTCCATTTAAATAGAAGTTTTTTAAAGTTTCTAAAATTTATAAAAGTTTGGAAAATATAATAAAATAATATTTAATTTAATATTTTATAAAAAAACTTATTTAATTTAATATTTTTTAAAAAATAAATAATATCAAATAAATAAAAATACTCCCTTCCGTTCCAATCTAATTAAGCTATTTTTAGTTTTAATAGTAAATTAAAAAATAATACTCCCTCGGTTCCGGTGCAAGGTTGCCGTTTACTTTTTGCACGTAAATTTTTAAATATTAGTATTATAATGGGTTGTAGTAAAAAAGACGAAAATGCCCCTACTAGTATTGTGTAATATAAAAGTAATGACATTTGTATAATATAGTGTAAGTTGGAAGAGTATTTATTATGTTAGGTAGGTAGTACAATTACTAAATTAGGAAATGATAATCTTGTTTTGGGACGGACGAAAATGGAAAATGACAACCTTTCGATGGGACGGAGGGAGTAATATTTATTGATTAATGAAAATACCTATAAATTTTTAATATTTTTTATTTTATTTAATGTATAAAATAATTATATATATATATATGTAATAGTATGTTTGTAGTTTAAATAAAATTTAAAATATTTAAGTATTAGTGTATAATAATTATTTTTGTTTTTTAATAGTAAAAGAATATTTAAAGTGAAAAAAAATGGTAAAAAATTTATTTTGAATCGAAACTGAGATACTATTTTTTTTTTTTTTTTGTTTATTGGCCCAATAAATATTACTATTTTCTAATGGCCCATAATCATTTTATTTTCAACCAAATTTCTCATTATCTCCCACCGGCTTCGCTATCCTCTTCTCCGTCGCCGTCGCGACGTCTTCTTCTTCTATTGCTTCGTAAGTTGAATTCTTCCACTAATTTTGAATTTTTCGGTGCTATCAATTCCGATGCCTGCTGTTACTGTTATGTTATGGCTATTTTGGGTTTAAACTGTTTGGCTGTTATCATCTTCAATTTCTATGTTGATTGTTATATTTATTTAGGGTTAGAATTGTTTGCCTCTATCAATTTACTGTTGAGTAATTAATTCCTGTATGTATGCTGTTATGCACCATTTTTTCAATGGGGAATTGCTGAGTATCCGTAGTGTATATGATGGAAATAGCACAAGGCACAGAAAGTTTTGGAGTTCTTAACAGATTTGGGAATAGTAAAATGTAGTTTTTGATGTAATATTTTGAAGAAAAAGTATACAATCTACTACCGATGAAGAAGAAAATTGGAGTAGGAATAGGATGATAAATTTATAATTAGGGAACAATCTAACATAATTATATAAAAAAACATATATTTTTTATATCTTAAAAAAATAAAAATCGGGGGCAATGGGGGCTGCCACCACTTACAGTAGATGAATATGCCAAAAGTTTTAAAAATGTATGTGTAAACATAGCCCAAATACAATTGTAGTTGATGCTATGAAAATTTGTTAATTGACAGTAGATAGATAGAGGAGAACTGATTCAACCATGGTAGTAATGAATCTCCTCAAACTCAGCCCTCACCGGACTCCGGCAGCTCACTGCCACCGCGGCCTCCGCCTCCTCAACCTCCACAATTCCCCGAATTTTCTCTCCTTCTCTGAGCGGAGATTCAATCTTATCACTCCACTAAGATTATATACCAATAATGGTGGGGATTCAAGGATTGGTGCAGCAACTCAATTTTCGATTGGCAAGAATGAAGAGGAAGGAGAGAGTCGAGAGTTTGAGGAGTATTTAGCTGAGGATGGAGAGGTTTATCAGAAGACTTTGAGATTGGTGGAGTGTGCAATGTTTGCAGCTGTTTCGGGATTGGCTTTTCTCCTCAGCAACTCCCTCGCCATTGAGGTATTTCTTTTCCTTTTTGTTTATGTTGGTTTCTTAGCTTTTGAAATTTATTGTGTTATTTCAGTTATTGTTAGATTGAATAGTAGCTTCCATTCCCAATCGAATAGAAATGATGCAATTTGCCAAAATTTTCGTCTTTTCATGTCTTTTGCTCAAAATTGGATGAAACTCGCACTATTCATCCGAAATGGTCCAACAAACCAATCTCATGCTATCTGAGGTTGCTTAGGTCTTGAAATGACATTTTCCTATTTTCAGTTTTTTTGTTTTCTTATTTCTAGTTTATTTTTATTGTGTTTTAGAGTTTTCAAGCATTCAAGTATTTAGTTGTTTCTCTTCAATTTTAATTTTCGTTTCATTAATAAAATTCATTTTGGGATTGGACGAAATTCGCTTGATTCATTACAAACCGCCTAACAAACTAGACTGGTTGCATCTCCAATGAGACGATGTCTGGCTTTATTTGGCCATCTAAAGTAGTTTAGGGTTTTAAAATAGCGTTTTTCTACTTTTTCGGGTTTTTTCTTTATAATTTTTTTTTTTTGTGAGCTTTCAATCTTTGATCGATTATCTCAATTCGTACAATCAGCATCATGAAGCTTTCTAAATAGCAATACTGAATTACGCATTTTTGTTGCCAGATTGTGATTTAGATCACAAATTATGAGAAATAAGGAACACTAGTTTAATTTGTACTTTTTGGTTGGTCAAATGCAGAATTTAGTTGCTATTGTTGTTTAAGCTTAGTTTATGGATCATAAAAAGGTCAAAGAACAAGGATATGATCGAAGAGGTAGCAATTTTACACGCCAATATAGATACATATCCTTATACGTATATATCATCCGGCACTATGCAGCTATGCCATATTCATTCATATATCACCCTTTGGTTGGATTTGAAATATTATTAGAAAACAAATTTAAATGAAAATTATGTATTTAATGTGATATTTTTAAAGAAATTAGTCTTTTATTGAATAGTATGTAGTGTGGAAAGATTACAAAATCACACACAAGCACGGCCGAGTAGTACATCGAAGCTGTATGTATATATCATCTTTTGTAATTTTCTATTGCGCTTCTGAAAAATGCTATCTACGATGAAAGGAAATTTTGAAATTATTGTGAACTTACAAGCTTCCAAAGATGTAATTGCTGTCGCTACTTAGGTCAATTGTTGTTGTCGATCATACTTTAGTCATATCACTTGTGCAATTTTGTTCGACAGAAATACTTTGCATGTTTCTTTGCCTTGCCAATTTTGTTGTCGACTATGAGATGGGGCATTGCAGCTGGTAGGAAAACTATGGTATGCCACATGATAAATTTCCCACAATATAGTTCTCTTTTTCGATATGTAGGTGTTATATTATTCTTTGATTCTTTTCAGGTCGCAACTACTATATTGTTGTTTGTCTTGTCTGGTCCAGTTAAAGCAATGACCTATTTGGTGAGTTTCATAAACAGCTTCTGAAAAAATTTATCGATCGGCTAGGAGTTAAAAGCATTAAAATTTATAAAAGGGACTTTGATTTGATGATCTTTATATTGTAGGCTGACAAAATTCAAGATTTTTTTTTTTTTTTTACGGGAATCTTGTCATTCCTTCTCATTCATGTTGTGTGCATATTGATGAAATGGCAATATGTAGCTAGAATAGAAAATTTCATTCCAACTTAAAACATTTGACCTTGATTTGATGATATTTATATTTTTCGCTAACAAAATTCTTGTTATTCTTTCTCATTCATGTTCTTTGTGCTAATTTTGACGTTCGAAATGGCAATATGTGGCTAGATCGAAAATTACACATTGACTGCCGATGTTGTATTTGTTGTTTGTAATAGATTGCTCACGAAGGAAATCTTGTTAATCCCGTACTATTTTGATTGTAAGTGTGTCGATAGTTTATAGTTATTTTTCATTTTAAGCATGTTTCTACCAACACGTCGGTTTCACGTCTGTAGCCTTATCTTTTCATCCCTGATAATTCATCTCGACAAATCTGAAATTTGTAAATCTGTTATTGATCAGTTATTGCATGGTTTGCTCGGTTTCGCCATGGGAACTTTGTGGAGGTAATCATCGCATAGCCACATCTCTCTAGTCTACGGAACGCGTAAAATAATCAGACCATTCCTTCTTGTATCGACAGGTCAAAGACGAGCTGGAGCGCCTCAGTCCTTTTATGTACAATTGTATAGCTTTTCTCCGGAATCCTCTTCGGTAACTAAATTAAAATTCTTCGCCAACAATTTGTCGAGCATTGATCACGTTCGATTTGCAGGTCCGAGCAACAGGGGCTTTGGGAAATGTTGTCATGGCCTCGTACCTTATTGGAGAAAACATACTCGCTTTGGTAAAATTTAAACGCAAAATTACTTATAACTCACTCGTGGGTTAAAAAATCTGCGCTATTTTTTCTCGTACTTTAAAATGGCATATTTTTGAAATATTGCACAAAATTCATTTTCTAACAAAATTAAACCCAACCTTGACCTGAAATTTTTCAGATTCGGATTTGGATATTTCGGGTTTCAAAAAATTGGATCGACCCGACCTGAAACAAAAAAAAAAAAATTATTTATATTATTATGTTAATTTAATATAAACTAAAATGAAAATGATATTTTTTAGGTTAATTTAATTTTTTTAAATTTTTGGGTCAGTTTCGTGTCGGTCGGGTTTCGGTTGATCTGAAAATAATTCAAGTCAAGTTGAATCCGACCTGAAAGAATATGTCGTGCTCGGGTTTAGGGTTTCGGGTCAAGTTCGGGTTGACAGATGTTGTGTTACCCCCATGGCTCAACCCGATACGAATTCTACCCGAAAATATGAATTGACACCCCTAGAATATTGTGCAATATTTTCAAAAATGTAAGGGAGTTTCATGTAATATTTGGAGATTTTTTGTGCAATATTTTCTAAAATACAAGGGAGTCTAGTGCAGTTTTTAAATTTTAGGCGAGTTATAAGTAGCTTTTTCAAATTTGAAATCTCATCGTTTCAATCGTATCATATCTATTACTCCCATCATCGAAAACACTTTCTGGGCTTGTAGATCACGATTAATGTCCACGCCCTCGTCACGTTCATCCTGTCATCCATGGGCATCATTGCAGTTCCATCGATGAGCATTATATACTTCATATTCGGGTTCTTGGTAAGCGCATAAGTTATTCGTAATTTACAGTCGAAATCGATCTCTTTAACAAAACTAATAATCCTTACGCCCGTGATTCGTTTACAGCTTTTGCTCAACTGTGGTTTTTTCGTGTTCTTGCTACACATTTTATACGCCATATTCTTCACGAGGCTCGGACTTAAAGCTTCCGTCCGGCTGCCTAAATGGCTCGAGGCTGCGATATGATCTACGGTTTCATGCCATCATGCGTCGACACACACACGTGTGTGTGTGTGTGTGTGTGTATATATATATATATATATATTGTCGAATGGAAGACGATGATTTTGTATGGATCTTTCTTGTTTGTTGCATATGGGAGTAGTGATAGTTCTTGTAGCGTCAAAAATCAATTTTAAGGTATATTCAAAATGCATTTTGCATTTAAATAGTAGTTCAAGTGTTTTTTTAAGAATAGTATATTAGGAGTAGGAGGCTTTGTTCTTCTAATTTTATTTCTTATATGTTTTCCAAAAAAAAAATTTGATATATTATATATATTCATTATTTTTATATTCTCTACATGATTCATGATTCATGATTCCGTATACATTACATAAATTTATTTTTTTTTTCCAACAATTTTACAAATCAAATACAACCTGAGTGTTTTTCTATAGAAAAAGGTATTTGACACTATTAATATTATAAATATATATATATATGTCATTCCTCTATATCAAGAAAAAGATGTTATTTTTTATTTTCATCCGTCTCTAATATAATAAACACATTTCAACTTATAATATATTACACAAATGTTAGTATTTTTATATTACACAATATTAATAGCAGTATTTTTGTTATTTTTACTATAATACATATTTAAAAATCTCGAACAAAATATATAATATTTGCAGGTATATTTCTTTTGATGAGTTTGAAAAAAATTTAGTTTGAATTTATATTAAAATAATGTACGATGAGATGAAAAAATATACTCCCTCTGTCCCATAAGAAGGGTTCAATTTTTCATTTTCGTCCGTCGCAAAACAAGGGTACCATTTGTACTATCTATCTAACATAATAAATACCCTTCATACTTACAATATATTACACAAATGTCACATTTATATTACACAATACTAATAAGAGTATTTTCGTATTTTTTACTACAACCTAATATAATATTAATATTAAAAAATCTACGTGCAAAAAACAAACATTACTCTTTATATGAGATGAAGAAAGTACTATTTTTTTCGAAAAACGCAGAGTCTAGAACCTTGGGGTTTGAAAGCTAAAGAAACAAACTACCTAATATAAAATTTTTTAAACTAAAAATATGTGTTTGTTTGGGATTTGAATTTTGAGTTGGGATTTGAATAGTAAAAATTTTGAATTTGAATAGTTGTATGATTAAATAGGGGTTGATGTGATGTTTTAAATGTAAAATTAATTTTTAGTATAATATAAAAAATAAAAAATAGGTGTTTAATTTGATATTTTTTTAGAAAAAAATAAGATGAATAGTGTATTTGGGGGAGAATCCCCCAAACAAACACACCCTTAGGAGATCGACAAAAATAAATGAGCTTGAGTGGATATTATTTTGTAAATAATAAAATTTTATAGAATACAAATAAATAAAAAGTAAATAAAGATATTTGCAATTGACGATGGACAAAAATAAATGAGTTTGAGTGGATGTTATGTGTTCAATATCGATAAATTTACAAAAAATAAAAAAGATTATATTTTGTGAGACAAAAATGGGTCATCTTCGTGGATTTTTCTAGTGCATACTTTCGGCGCGGGCATTTTTCCACATCATCATAAAAAAAATGAAAAAAAAGAAAAAAGGAAAAAAAAAAAGAGAAAAAACTTTGGATCATCTTTGGCCGCACAGGGAGCATAAATGATATTTTGATTTTGTATATAAAATAATATATTTTATTAATATTGTTAAACTTATATGTACTTACCGACCGGACTGTTGAAAAAATGTGTGAATGATATGTGTTAGGTTTATATCATATCAGTGTGTTTTCTAGGAAAAAAAATACTAAACTAGTATAATTTTATGCATATAAGTGTTTATTTTTAATTTAAAATATCTTATTAAATATATATTGTTTTATAACGTAAAAATTCGAAATCGTTATCCGAAGACAGACATAGTCCGGAGGCTATATATATATATATTGGACGGGATCGTTTGTCCCAGACACAATTCTGTCCCACTGTATCATACATACATTGTGTATATATGCACACTATGTATGTGGAGATTAGAGCTGACAATGGGTCGATTCATGTCGGGTTGAATACTTTAAACGGGTTAAATTACTCAACCCTAACCCAACCCATTTATTATCGTGTCGGGTTCGAGTTGACCCGTTTATTATCGTGTCGTGTTCGGGTTGACTCGTATATATAATTAAGTCGAATTTATTGATTCAAACTAAATAATTTTTTTGTTGTGTTGTCGTGTTATGTTAGTTTTTATTGGTTTGAGCGTAAATTAGGTTGAATTATTTAAAATTGAACTTAGTTTAAATTAATTTATTAGAAAATTAATAAATTATGATTATTTTACATATATAATAAATATATTAATCAATATTAATATATTATAATCGGATCGTCGTGTCGGATTCGAGTCGAGAGTCTCAACCGTAACCCAACCCGTTTATTATCGTGTCGGGTTCGTGTCAACCCGTATACATAATCGGGTTGAAATATTTGACCCAAATCCAATTATTTCATGTCGGATCGTATCGAATTGTCGTGTCAGATCAGTTTTTGCCGGCTCTAATAGAGATAAAGATAGGGTTTATTTTTGAGACAGAATATCACCGCATAAATATCATACCAACCAGATTACAAGACGTGGACTTGAAATTCACACATTTTAAAGCCCGATCCATAACATGTTGCACGTGAATATCACGGCCTTGTAGTTTTCATAGTTAGATTTAATTGGTTGAATTTTAAAATTAATTTAAAATAAGATATTAATTAGATTTATTTTAATAACATATTGATTTGATATGTTATAGGAAAAAAATTGTATTTTTATGAAAAGGGAATAAATAATATAAATTTCGATTTGAAATTACAATTAAACACTATCTCATATTTATCTGTAAAATAATAAAAGTTTTAAATTAAAATATTGAGCGTATAAATTGATATTTAATTTACTATTTTAAAATAAAAATAAGTATTTAATACTATATTATAAATTTTATTTTAAAAATAATTTATACTATAATACAAACAACACCAAATAACTATTTTGAGCATAACATTATCCCGAAGAAAATCGTGTTTCGTTAAATATTTATCGAAAACGAATATTTGAATGTAATAAATTTGGATAATCAAATCCGAATATATTTTGTTAAAAAAACTAAATATTACTTCATCTGTCATTCAAATTTATACTCACTTTTCTTTTTGAGTTATTATCGAAAAATATTTTCATTTCTTTTTTAAGTAAAAAATTATTCTATTTTTGTATTGTTTTTTACTATAAAAGGAAAAATTAACAATTATTACTCTTTCATTAAAACTCGTGTCCGATCAAATAATCACAAAGAGTATTTGAAATATTAATATTGTGTTGTATAGAAATTGTATCGATTATAACCAATCATTTTGAAATAAATTCTCTCTCATGTTATGTTATACATATGAAAAAATTGAGAGAATTAAAATGATAGAATAATAAAATTAGACTTATTTCAAAATAAAATAAGATAATTACTTTCTATTAGTATTTAATGTGAATCTTTTTATCATTTTAGAACGGTAAAAAAAAAACTATTTAGCTTTATATTTTTTTTTTAAAAAAAAATAGCAGAAATAGTCTTCAAGACACTTTTTTGCCAAATTTTTTTAATTCTGGGCTAATTTAATATATAATTTAGTTATAATTTTAAAATGATAAAGAGTCACGAACTAGATTTAAATATTCTTTTTCGCTAAAATAATAAAAATTCGTCTCTCTTTACTGTTTTTCACTATTTCTATTCGATCATTTCTTTCTTTAAATTTTCTTCTTCTTCATCATCGCCACCATCACAAACTGTCATTCGCCTATTATTTATGTTTTGTCAAAAAGTTGAACTTGTGTAAACAACGCATTCTATATATAAACAAAAATAATAATCTATTCGTCGAGCTTGATTTGTAGAGTATTAGGTTTAACGGGGATTTACCTAGTGCGTATTTTCGGGTAGCGGCTGCGGATTTCCACCTCATTAAAAAAAAAAAAAAAGAAAAAAAAAAAAGAAAAAAAAAAAACACAATAATCTAGTATCAATTATACGTAACATTTTCTTCGTAACACAAAGTAATATAGTTTAATAAATTAATGATGGTAGATTATGATCAATTTTATTTTACTACCCACTCCGTCTCACATACCATGTTCACGTTGTCATTTCTGTCCGTCTCACATAACATATCATTTTCATTTTTTGAAAAATGATTACACACTTTAATCTCATTTTAATTTTTTTAATTTTAATTAAATTAATTAGTTATCTTAATCTTAATCTATAATAATTTATATTATAACTTATAACTTAATTATTTTTACTAATACATTTTTAATTATCCACTAATTATATTTATCCTAAATTCTCGTGTCTACATGTAGTATTATTTAAAGTGAATAGTGTTGCTGTCATTTTAAAATAAAAAAATTAATGTTTTATCCGTCTCTTAATATTCTATTTATTTATTTTTATTTTTATAATATATTACACAAATATCATTACTTTTATATCATACAATACTAATTTAGTCTTTTTATCTTTATTTGTATTAAATCTCAATATAATACTAATATTCCTAAAGCTCAATCAAAAAACAAATTGATAGAGTATATAATTAAAAGAAGTTTAGAATATATGTTTAGATATTTCAATCAATATATGTTGTGCTATGTAAATATATACTGTATATTTTAAAATAATACACCGACTCAATCAAATCAATACTATGCTGATTTAATTTAATCAATTCCTACCCCCAGTTATATAATATAATGTCTAATTATTTTTATTAGCAAAAAATGAATATATTTCTTTTTTATAATTAAAAATTTAAAAATATATTTTCTCGTCCGCGGCTTTTAAGGTCATATTTACTAATTGTATTTAATATTAAAAATATTTTTAAATTTATATAATTTTTTTTTATAAATATTTTTTTATTAGCATTATAAGAATTTTGTAATTTTTTTTTTTAATTTGTACAATACGAAGATAGTATAACAAAACAAGCACTAATATTTTACAAATAACTCGATCCAAATAATTTCAAAATACAACTAATTAATTAATTATATGGGCCAACAACTAACCAATCCAGTTAATTACAAACAAATTAAAACCTCTCTCTCTCTCTATATTATATATTCTATACTACAACACACTTGTTGGTTTAAAAAGTCCTCCGTTGTATATCCCCCAAGTCCCGGGACCTCGGGACCCCCGACCATACCCTAGCTTCTACAACCTTCCGTCCATGGCAGTTCAACGCAACCACCACCGATCTCCGTCGACCGACTCAAACTCAAATTGGCAGAAATTGAAAACCAAAACCTCTTTTTCCGGCGGGAATCGACGATCTCCGGCGGCCGGATTGAACCGGAAATAGTTCCGGCAGAGCGGGCAAGTCCAGTGGCCGCATCCGATCCAACGGTCCAAGCACGCACGGTGGAACACGTGGCCGCATTTCAGCCCTCGGATCTCTTCCCCGTCGCCGACGCCGCACAGGCAGACCGCGCAATCGCCTCCGTCGCCGGAGCCGTCCGCCGTCCGCCGCACAGCGAAGGAATCGATGCTCCGCGGCGGATCGGCGGCGACGGAGGAGTGGAAGAAGGATCGGTGGAGAAGGAGATCGATAATCGACCATATGTGAGTGAATAGAAACCCTAATTTGGCGAAGAGGAAGTGCAGTCGCCGGAAGTTCATCATCAGAGACATGGAGGAATTTTAGAATGAAAGTTCAGGGGTTTACGGAGGCGACTATTTATAGCGAAAATTTTATTTAGTATATGGGGAAAGGTAAACTATCTATAATAATGGAAACGTTAAATTGCACTAAATTTATTAATTTCACGAAATTGTTTCAAATTTTCGTACCTTTAAAATTGCATTAAATTGTTTCAAATTGAACAGTTTTTTAACTGTTTGATCAGTCAAAAAGTTAATTTAACTGTTTGGTAAATTAGCTTTTTGGAACAAAAAAGCTAATTTCTGAAAAGCTAACTTATCCAAACGTTTTGAAATAGTTTTTTCTGTAAATTTTTTTATTCCTTATATACTCTTAAAAATTTATCATACATTTTACACAAATAAATATATTTTGATTATTTATTAATTATATTAGAATATTTTATTATATTATAGTTTTACTTTTATAAATTTAAAATAATTAATTTTTATATAAAAATTATTTTAATTGTAAAATATATAAATTTATTAAAATCAATATAAAATAAAAAATATAAATATTAATAATTTATTTTTTTATTAAAGTTATATTATATAAATTTTATACTAAAAATAAATTAAATTTATTGAAAATTATAAATATAATGAACTAATTGATAACTAACATAATAAATATATACATAAAAAATTTATTATTTTATATTTACATCATTTTCAATAAAAAAACTATTTATATATTATAATAAAAATATATTATTTTTTAAATTTAGCTGTGACAAAAATAAATACTTTTATAACACTTTTACAATTTCAATAACTAATAACAAAAAATTTTAAGTATTCTAAACTCAAGAATAAAATAGAAATGTCCTCGATTGTCATTTTACGTATAAACAGCTAATATCAAATAGTTGTTTTATTAAACATTTTAATACAAACAGCTAATCGAATCATCTAACACCTATCAACTAATTGAATCAGCTAACAGTTAACAACTACCAGCTAATTGTCAAACACGCCCCAAATATCATTAAATAAGAATTGTCAAGAGGTTAGACACAAAGTTCATAAAACCATGAAAAAATTTGATGCAGTTTTAAAAATACAAAAAATTTGGCAATTTCGTGAAACTAGACCCGAATTTTGTGCAATTAAACATAATAATAATAATAATAATAATAATAATAATAATGGTGACGTAGACCAGTAATTTAGGCATTATCTGTTACACGTACTAATTATTCAAATTACACTTATTAATTTCAATTTAATTAATATTACACTGATTCTGTCTGCTTCTACTGTCTCATTTAACTTTTGGTCACTTATTAATTTTTTCTATTATAAGACATATTTTTGCATTTTTTTTTATTAATTTATACTACGTTTTGATATAATAATTAATATTCAAATATCAACAAATAAAAAATAAATTGGATCCTTAAAGCCGGACGAAAATAGTATAATATAATTCCTTTTAGGTACTGCCTGCCACATAATAGGAATGATTCAAATTACACTTATTAGTTTCAATTTTATTAATATTGTATATCTGTCTACTTAATTTGTCCACTCTTTCTATTTTCGTCAATCTCATTTAATTTTTTTTTTAAAAAAATATAATTATACATTTTAATCACATTTTAAAATTATAATTTAAATTAAATTATTTAGTCATCTTAATTTTAATCTATAATTATTTTTATTAAATTATAATTATTTTCACTAATATACTTATTAATTACTTACTCGTATGACAATACCTAAGACTCTGAAGCTAAAGAAGATAAATTAGTTGGGGCGGAGGCAGTAATATGATTTATTATTACTATTATTATTGTTGTTATTATTATTTGTAAAAAAGCAATATGTTGGGTGTGTTTGTTTGGAGTTTATATTGGATTTAGATTGTTCATTCAAATTTTTTTTATCAATTACCCTAAAATATTATACTCTTTTGTTCCAAATATAATGTAATATTTGTTTCTGATACATAAATCTTAATTGATAGTATTAATAAGATAATTCAAGAATTAAGTGATACGATAAAAGAAAAAAAATATATATTTATTCGAGTGTGATATAAAAATTAAATATATTTAATTATTTTTTATTTTAAAAATATTACAAGATATTTAAAATAGACTTTGCAAGTTATTTTGAAACAGAGAGAGTAATAAAAAGATGAGTTTGCTCATTTTATATTTTTAAATGGATATATTATTTATATTAAATTTAAAAAATTATATTGATAATATAAAAAATATTAAATTCGAATTATTGATTTTTTTATTAATAAATAATATATATTGTTTTAATATATGTATATTATATTTTTATATAATATTTATAAAAAATTGTAATATTTAAAAATACTAAATAATTTCGATATACCCTTACCACCATTACACGTGCTACACGATGCATTTAACATGTGAAAAATGAATAAGCTGTGGCCGCAAAATTTTCGTACTAATATTATACTACTTATTTTATTGAAAATCTTGCCGCTACTATTTTTATTTTTAGATTTTTTCATATATATATAATATTCTCGTCCACAAATTAATGTCCTATTTTTTTATTTGGGACGTTCAACAACTATTGTTATATTTCATTTTTTAAATACAAATTTTATATTTTTACCCTTCATTCATTTATTACTTTTAATCTCTACCATAAATTTAAGGGCAAATTTGTTCATTCATAATAAAAAGACAGTCACCTAAAAATATACTTTAGGACAATAGAAATTGACAGAGGAAGTATTACTTTATGTATATTTTATAATATTATTTCAAACAAAAAAATAAGAACAAAGTAGACAAAAAAAAAATTATATACTTATAAAATAATACACTAAAAATAAATATAACAATGAGATATACTTCATCCGTCTAATTGTGTGTTCATTTGAATGGATACAAATTATAAAAATAATAGTTAAAAATAAATATTTTTACTTTTTAAAATAAAATAATAATAATAATATTTCTTTACCAAAAAATGAAACTTATAGTGTGTAATATTGCACTATTTAGTAATCTCATTCGTCGTGCTAGAAAGTATACATATTTTAATTTTGAGACGTCCAATTACAAAATAAGTATTTTATTAAATACCCTTTTTTTTTTTTTTTTTCAGAAATCCTTACTTTACATTAAATCATTACTTTTATACAAAAAATAAAGGACAAAAATATTATTATATTATTTTTACCTACCAACTATAATTAAAATATTATTATTTATTAAACTTCGTACCAAAAATAAATGTATATTTATTACTTGAATGAAGGGAGTATTATAAAAAATAACAATACGTACACAATAGTATAATACCAAAATGTATTCTTAAAAAAAAATTAATTAAATATTCAATCTAAAATATTATTATTTTATATTGTCAATGTATTTTTCATATATAAAATAATCAAATATAAATACAATTTATAATATATTATAAATATATTATTACTTTTATATTATATAATATATATAAAAATATTTTTGTATATTACAAACCAATATAATTTTTTAATATTAAAATATTTATGTGAAAAAATAAATACTACTTTTCTGTGAGGTAAGTAAGAGTATATAATTATATTATATTGCCTTGCATTAATTCAATATTTGCCGTCTAGAGTCTGAAAAATTGATTCTATCACCAAATTTAACTTATTTATGTCATCTTCAATCTATCAATTTTATTTATTCAATTTTAACTCTAAATATGCAGTTGCTACAATAATTTTACTTCAACCATAACTCTAATTTTCACTATTATTCTTCAAATATTCAATTTTTTTCTATTCTTTTAAACAACTTTTTATTTTTATAATTTAAAATAATTTTTTAAAAAAATTAGAAAAATAAAAAATTTATAAAAAGTAAATTATACAAAATTATAAAAAATAAATTAAAAAATTTAAATAAATATATTTCATCTTTCAATCTACAACAAATATTTTTACGTATTAATTACTATGATTCTTTAATTATACTTTATCTTGATCGTATAAGATTTCTCCTTAGAATAACATGACAAAACGACAACTAATTATAAGTAGTAACATATTTATTGCACGAGTTTGCTTCAACGGTAAAAATTATTAAGAAATTAAAATTCAATTTAATTCCATTACTAGTACAATAATTTTTGTGACATGAAACATGTTTTTCAATTATAAATATAGGATCATATTTTAGACATTTATTTGATAGATATTATTATGAATGTCAAAAATATTTTAATTTGTTTTGAAAAATAATTTGAAAGAATATATATATATATATTTTTATATCAAATATAAAAAATGTTTAAATTATATAAAGATAATAATATATGTAATATATTATTTTTTTTGAAAAATTATATATTACAAAACAAACGTACCGGACTCATTAAATAAAAATATATACTCACACGTGTGTAAATGTACGCATGTAATATAATTACATCAATAAATGCTTAACTAACATTATAATAAAGCATTTATATTAAATCCGTCTCAACCTTAGAAAAAAATTATAAAATATATATGGATAATAATACAACAACGCGTCTAGTAGTTAAAAAGATCGTAGCTAATTTGGCCAGCGAATATGCTATGAAAAATTGCAATATAATTTTTATCTCAAATTTTATTTGCTTTAAATTTTGTCGCATATTGTTGAGTATAAAATTTATAATTAGGATGATAGCCCAAAAATAAGAGGGAAGGTAGGCCCGTCAATGGGCCCATCAGGTGGCCAAGAATTTCTCTGGGCGGATCGTTCGGAGGTAAGGCGGTCGGTTGGTCAGCCGTCCGTCTTAAGAAGGCAGGGCAATAGTGAAAGTTAGCTGACGGGAGTGGTCAGTCAAGCAGTTGAATTCGATAATTGACAGGAACGGTTGGTGGGACGGTTAGGGCACGTGTCAGTAGGAGATTAATGCTGGCGGTTGATGGCAGTTGTAGTAACCGACCAGGTTAACGCTTGGGGCAGTTGGTGGCTGTTGTGGTAAGCGACCAGGTGACGTTTCAAGACGTTTTCTTAGGAATTATTTAATCA